GTTCTTTCAGTAAAGTCACGTAGAAGGGAAATAATAAAATAATAAAAATAAAACATAATACAATTCTCACGACGTTTCGGCCACAACGCAAGCAGCCATCCCAGGGGAAGAACAGGTCTGTCGGAAAGACAGCGTCTGAATGAAACACCACCAGGCTTGGAGCGTATATTTAAGCTGGGTTGGAGGGGGAAGAGCGCCTTGACAAGGTGTTTCATTCAGATGCTGTCTTCCCGGCAGACCTGTTCTTCACATGAGGACGGCTGCTTGCGTTGTGGCCGAAACGTCGTGAGAATTTAATTTTATTATGTTTTGTTTTTATTATTTTAAATTTTCCCTTCTACATGATGACTTTCTCGCGTCAGAGCAGTTGCTCACCCTGCGTGTTGGAGAACGACGCACAGAGGCGGCTGCCGCCAGGCTGCGTCTCTGGAGGTCCTGTCACGTGATCCTCGGGTTTGCGCGCCGCAGAGGGCAGCGCTTTCCCACTCGCTCCGCGCACGAGAGTTAATGTTCGACGCGTGATGGACCGACCCGATGTTTTAATTCTCGGGGCGGGAATTTTAGCCGAATAAAGTGGGGAACCGCATTGTTGATCGCGATGTTTTTTTTTTATTTAGTGCGGTCATCGTTGGACGGGCTGAGACCATCAACTCACTTACACTCGGGAGATGCCAGTTTGGGTCAGAAGTCGCTGAAGTCTGGATTCAAACCCAGGATCTCAGCGGTGTTAGCTCTGTTCTCTGGTCTCCCAGCCGTGTGGCCACCTATTAACAGAGTAATACCTAAACAAATTCCAGTGCTTGCTCTAACTGGTGAGAAAATGCATTGGCCATAATACTGTGTGCCGGGTTGTACAACACTTTTATTATTTTTTATTCTTGCGTATGGCAGCAATTTGTTCAGGAGCTAAATGCCAGTGCCGAGGTCTGCTAGCCACGAGAGAGCTACGGGAGAGGGTTTGTGTCGTTTTGCTGTTCTTCCGTTTCGAGTGTTTGGCTGCTATAAATTTTCACACGATGAGCAGCTTCGTTGAGCTACCGCTTGTGGCCAGGTCGCTTTTGAAAATGAGCTACACAGCTCGGTAGGCCTTACGTGGTATAACCAAAAATATATATTTTATGTTCGATAGTTTGGGGCCACAGTCACACTGGGAAACGGTAGCCCCTTCTCGCGGCCCACCTGTTACTCGTTTTGGTGTTCCCGTCAGGCACGATGAATTCTTTCGTGTAGGCGAAATGGACGTCGTTTATTCGAATCCAGATGTGATCAGCGGAGCCAACGTCGTTCGTAATACGTGCAGAGAAAGGTGTCGTAGACGGCACGGGGTCTGGAGCTACGGTGAAGGGAACGATTGAAGTAGCGCTTAATAAAGAGGGCTGCAAGGTGGGGCTCAAGATCAATACGAGCAACACAAAGGTCACGTACAACAGCGAGTTCACTGAACGAGTGGAAGTATCTGCCAGAAGCACACAACTGGAACACACAGTGGGGTATATGTGTGTGTGTGTTTGAGTGTGTGAGTGCGTGCATGTGGGGAGCGGTAGTGTAGTGATTAGCGCCCTGTGCTACGAACCCGGCGACCCAAGTTGGATTCCCGCTAACGGCCAACGCCATTTACGGTTATCTGAACCTGTCATGGGCCTCTCCTAGGTCGACTCAGCCTCAAATGAGTACCTGGTGTGGTGTTTAAACATCACCACTGGGGAGACAAAGGCGGTCGGGCGTGGTGTTGGCCACCCACCCTCTCATGTGCCGTGCCGGCCTTCATAGGTGCTACTCGCTAACAGCACTTGCCCCAACAGTCTGTTAAGGCTACACGGAAGGGGGGGGGGATCTTTGTCTTTGTCTACCGAGGACAGATGCTGAAGGTAGACTGGGAATGAAAACGATTAAATGAAGAGTCTAGAGATGAGAGCAGGGTGGAGCACTCTTGTAAATCTGAACCTGACAACGGAATAGAAACGTATCGTTGTGCCAAAAGGAGAACATTCGTAATCGGTGTGACGTGTACGGCTCAGAAACACGGCCGCTGACGATTGCAAAATGGGGCAACGGCTGAAGCACGGAGAGGTGCGTGCTTAGAATTCCGCTGGGAGACGGGAAGAGGAACACGCGGATTAAATGACTCGCAAGCGAGTTAAAGGGAATACGCAAGTTGCTTTTGTTGTCCTCCTTGATGCCTATAAACAAAACGGCCGTGCGCGTTCAGCTATTTTTGATCCGGTGGCCGTGACACTGCTGCCATCATGCGCACAGCACGCTGGGAGCCTTCCTGTTGTGCCGCGAGCCATTCGGAGACGCTGCCACCTCGGAAGGTTCATTTGTGCGCCGATCGAGCGAGCCCCAGCCGAGGTCAGAGCTGAAAAAAAACAAGCGCTTGGGCTTCGTGCGCTCAAATCCCGGGGTGGCATGACGCATCGATTCATGGATTGAGATGCCTTCTCAAGATCAAGATACGCGCTTTGATCGCGTGCGTAAACGATATTAAATGTTTGTCAGTTTGTATCTGTTGTTGTACGCGCGCGTTGAGCCGTGGCGTAGTGGTTAGCGGGCTGCACTACGAAGCCGGCAACCCGAGTTAGATTCCCGCTCACGGCCAAAACCAGTGAAGAATTTCTAAGTTGGTCCCGGGCTTCCCCTAAGTCGACGTAGCCTCAAAAGAATACCTGGCGTGGTGCGTAAGCATTGCCACAAAGGAGACAAAGGCGGCCAGGGCATGGTGCTAGCCACCCACCCCCTCGTGTGCAGTGCCGGTCTTGGTAGGCGCTAGCTGACAGCCCCAAAGAGTCTGTTGCGGCCTTTGTATTTGTTTTCTTAGGTTTTTTCAGTAGTCACGTAGGTAAAAAATTTAAATTAGTAAAAGTAAAATAAAATAAAAATCACGACGTTTCGGAGGCAACACAAGCTTCCGTCTTGTGTTGCCACCGAAACGTCGTGATTTTTATTTTATTTTACTTTTATTAATTTAAATTTTTTACCTACGTGACTTTACCGAGAAAAACCTAAGAATATGAATCCTTGCAGTCAACGAAAGCTTCAAATCTAGAATTTGTATTTGTTGTTGTATGCAGTGGGTTCGCATCAACTCTGGAGCAGCCACTGGAAGCTCTACTCCTATTTGACGCCGTGTTTGTAAAAAAACAAGAATCCGACCTTAATTAAACGAATGGAGACCCTGAATCTTGACAATTCAGCAAATTGCTGGAGCTGGGGTTGGTTAAGCGTTGCACCTTCAATTCACATGTCGGTACGTGTGTGTCTATGATGGTATATGAAAGCACGTGTGCTGTACTCGTCGTGGTAATAGTAATTGATTCTAGATTTGAAGCTTTCGTGACTGCAAGGATTCATATTCTTAGGTTTTTCGGTAAAGTCACGTAGGTTAAAAAAATCAAAATTAATAAAAGTAAAATAAAATAAAAATCACGACGTTTCGGAGGCAACACAAGCTTCCATCTTCAGGTGGAACCGTCACAGCCCGACAGCTGTATTTTATTTTACTTTCATTAATTTAGATTTTTTTTTTACCTACGTGACTTTACCGAAAAACCTAAGAATAGTAATTGAATTTAGCGTCACACTCCATGGCAGGCAAATGACTCGGTTCACCGAGGATGAGGTTCGTATGTTTTGAGATCTTTTAGAGCAACGCTGCCCACTTGAGTGAAACCACTCTGCCTCTCGACAGTAATTTGTGAGTGGGCTCAAGATTTGAGAATGTTGGTTTTCACGTTTTTTTTTCGACTCATAAACAGACTCAACTTCATTTGTGTCACATGGCAAATTTCTAAACCTTCCAGAACACCGTTAGACTTGGTCGTCTAGTCACAGTCGTGTATATATTCGGTATCAAGTCCAATCAGAGGGTTTATTTGTTCAAACATTTGGGCATTCGCTCATCGCCATCGGTGGGCTCTGAGCCAGTGGTGAATATTCCGCACTCCCATTGTGGAGGCCAGTCGATCAATCGGAAAGCCATTTTTGATTCCGATCAAACTCTTCAACATGAACTGGTAGGTGTTTTATCATATTCTTGGGTTTTTTCGGTAAAGTCATGTAGGTAAAAAATAAAAATAAAATAAAAATCACGACGTTTCGGAGGCAACACAAGCCTCCGTCTTCAGGTGGAACCGTCACAGCACGCTCGCTGTATCAAGTAAAAAAAATGGTGGGCTCATCCGTTGACCCTGATGCTCGTTCGCAGTTCGAGTGTCGAGAGCCGTCAGTAAGTTCGGGAGCTTTCACTTTTTTTATTTTGTTATCTCGGCCGGCAGCAGAGACAACGCGGTTCGAGGGAGCGACCTCTCGGGGTCAGGGGTCACCGCCGTGGTCAGCTGAATTGACGAGTCGCCGGACCACCCGCACGAAGCCAAATAAACACCGCGTCTCCGGCGCGGGAGAGATTAATGTCCACCGTAAAACGCAACCCCCCACCCACCCTTCCACCCCCCACCGGCCAGCAGACCCGTTAACGCGAGGGCAGCCCCGGTTAGAGACAGGATCGAGCGGGTGGATAAGTAAGCGAGCAAGGGGACAAGTGATTTAATGCGTGGACGCGTGGTTGACAAGATGATCACGCGAGCAAGCAAGCGGGCGGATGAGCAGTTTGTCCTGTCGAAGAGCGGGCGAGCAAGTGAACAAGCGATTGGATGACAGATGGGAACACGAGTAGATGAACGAGCGATTTCACGGGTTGATGAGTGGTTGAGCAGGTGATCAAATGAGCAAGCGGTTGAATGAGCGGTTCACTGAGTGGGTTAGAAGCAAGTGAGTGAACGGAATGGGCGAGTCAACAAGTGGATGGGTAGGTGATTTAGTCGGTGGATGGGTGAGTGAGTGAATGAGTGGGTGGATGTCGAATTTTGTGGGTGACCCAACAATAAAAATGGGTAGATGGGCGAGCGAGCAGGTGGATGAACGAGTGAGCATTATCGGTGCTGGCAATAACGCCCCGTGTCTCCCGCTCCCCGTGTCTCCCCACTTTGTCCGTGTGCGAGCAGTCCAAGGTGTACACCCGCACGCCGACGATGTACCTGGACTTCCGCTTGGCGCAGGGAGCCACGCACTCCCAGCCTGTGCCGCAGGGTAACGACGCGCCCTTCCAGTAACGCCGGCGACGCCCCGCGATTCCCAGGGCCCTTTCTTCCAGAGACTTTCGCTCGGTGACGTTTGACCAAGTCCCTCCACCGTCGAGCGTAGCGGCGGTCTGTCGCGCTGCCGCGTCAAAGCCGACCGCCCGTCGCGTGTGCGCGGGTTGAGCGATCGATTGCGGACGTCGTCAAAATGAAACGGGTTACTTGGCGACGCCGCTGCCGCCTTGGCGGTGAACTCGCGAGAAGAATAAACAAAAAAGAACTCGGCACGCCCGTCAGTGACCCTATGGCCTTAAAAAAAAACATATATACATTAGCCAACGTTTCAGGCAATGGCCCTTCTGCATAGCACATAGGCACCACCCTGTCTCTCTCTGTCTGCGTGCTGTAAAGAAGTGCCGTTGCTTTTGACGAGCGTGCTTCTTTGTTTTGAGGTTTGTGTGTGGACGCGTGCAGCCCCATTTTCAATCCACTGCTGGATGAGGCTCCCCCTCCATGCCACACTGGTTGCGGCGGTTACTTGACCGTATTTCACTGCCCATCCGAGCACTGTCCAAAGATCAACCTCTGCTTTTGCCTCTGAGTTGCGACGATATCGGACTCATTCTGTGAGTGATTTGCAAGCAATTCCGTTTTTTTTATATACAGATACTTAATTTTTGCTCAGGCGTGAACTCAGACGCCCACTCCGTAACGGGACGCAGACGGTCGACGGTGGCGGTGTGGTGTTGGAATGAACCCAGGCGCCCCGGTGAGGCACCACCAGGGCTTCGTTTCCACCCCCCGGTCTGTCCCGGTCCGCGTCCCGAGAAAACATTCCAAGATTGAAAAGTGATTTCTTTGAAACTGCTTTTTGTGTTTAGTTTGCTGTCCTTCCCACGCACCCCTGATTAGCATCGTTGGCTACGTAAGGTTTTCGAAAGAAGCTCAATATACGTACATACATGTCTGTGCCCGGCACACTGCCGCATCCAGTATCCCTCTCGCAGCATCACAGGCCACGAGTGGTAGTCGCGTGCCCGCCGACTGCGGTCTGTCTACCGGCGGCGTGGAAAAAAAACAATTCGGCGAGAAGATTCAGCTCTCTTGGCGCCACGCGAAATGAAAGAAACACAAAGCAAAGGGGAGGGCATAAATGTCGCTCGGCTTTGCGTGCGTTTTTTTTTACATCCCTGGGAGCCGAGCCACCGCGCGGCGTCGCTCGCGCTTCCTCGCTCCGTCGCGTCGAGCGCGGGGAGGTCCGCTCGTTCGTGCCATCTCGCGCACGTGCGTGCGTGCGTGCGTGCGTGTGTGCGTGCGCGCGATGGAAGATTTGCAGGCGGATCCACGTGCTGTTGGGGAGATTTTTTCTTTCGCTCCGTAAACGGCTCGCGGGGCCCGTTGCCAAGCCGATGTGTTTTCGCCGATTCGTCGAGATGTGAACCTGACCGCTGATGTTTATGCGGCCTGGTGGACGTCTGTGTGATGATGTGGCCTGCCGTTTTAGCGGTCTACTGGCCGTGCGAGCCTGTGTACGTGTGGTCCGTTAATGGTGTGGTCTGCCGTTCATGTGGTCCGATTGTACATGTGGTCTGGTGATCATGTGGTCCGGCGTACAGACGGCGGCCTCCTTTGCTGTTGGTGACGTGTGGCCTGCTGCTGTGTTTGTGCGTGCAAGTGTGTACTTGTGTTTGTGCAAGTGTGCACGTGTGTGCGTATACATCTGCCGGTCTTCTTAAGTCAGTCAACCCATGGCACCTGGGTCTGTCCTGTGACCTCCTGCCAGCGAGCCTTCAATACTTCACGTGGCCTCAATGTGCACGTAGCGTGGCTAGCCTACTGCGCTGTGAACCTGGCGATCTAGGTTTGATTCCCAGCCACGGCCAACATCAGTTGGGAGTGATATCTGAACCAGTCGTGGGCCTCCTCTATATCTACTCAGCCTTAAATGTGTAGCTGGTAAACATTAGCAGTGGGACATGGCATGGTGTTGGTCACGCCATCTCCCACTTGCCCCTGCAGTCTTTGTGGGTTATATGGGCGATGTTTGTCTTTGTATGAACACACGTCTGTGTGTGTTCTTACAAATTTGTGCACGCACCTGTGTGGCGTGCGTGTGTGTGGGGAGTGGTAGTGTAGTGGATAGCGCACTGTGCTTGCGAACCCGGCCACCCAAGTTCGATTCCCGCTCACGCCTGATAACGAATATCTGAATCTGTGCTGGGCCTCCGCTTTGTCCACTCGGAAATAAATGAGTACCTGGTGTGGCATGAGCAGTGGCAGAAACAACGGTCGTGGTGTTGTGCACCCACCCCCTCGTGTGGAGTGCCGGCTTTGCTTGGTGCCCGTCATCAGCACTTGCCCGAACAGTCTGTTAAAGGCTACCTGGGGGATATTCCGGGGATATTTGTGTGTGCCTGTGCTGACACGATTGGGTGCTGTGTGTGCATGTGCATGGGTGCTTGTGTGTGTATGTGTGTGCGTGGGTGCTTGTGTGTGTGCGTGTGCATGGGTGCTTGTGTGTGCGTGTGCATGGGTGCTTGTGTGTGTGCGTGTGCATGGGTGCCTGTGTGTGTGCGTGTGCATGGGTGCTTGTGTGTGTGCGTGTGCATGGGTGCTTGTGTGTGTGCGTGTGCATGGGTGCTTGTGTGTTTGCGTGTGCATGTGTGCATGGGTGCCGTGTGTGCGTGTGCATGGGTGCTTGTGTGTGTGCGTGTGCATGTGTGCATGGGTGCTTGTGTGTGTGCGTGTGTGTGCGTGTGCATGGGTGCGTGTGTGTGTGTGTGCGTGTGCATGGGTGCTTGTGTGTGTGCGTGTGCATGGATGCTTGTGTGTGTGTGTGCGTGGGTGGGTGCGCTGCTCTACAAAGCCGCTATTCTGAGTTCAATTCTCGCTCACGGCCAACACCAGTGACGATTATAGGAAACGGTCCTGGGCCTCAAATGAATGCCTGGTGCAGTGTGTAAACATCGCCACTGGGGAGACAAAGGCGGTCAGTTGTGGAGCTGGCCACCCACCCCCACTTATTCCGTGCCGGCCTTCAGAGATGCTGCTCTAACAGTCTGTTAAAAGGATACCCAGGGGGTATTTGTGTGTGCCTGTGCCTGTGTTGGCACGAGTGTGTGCGTGTGAATGAGTGCATGTGCGTTTGTGTGTGTGTGTCTGCACGTGAATGGGTGCATGTGCGTTTGTGTGTGTGTGTCTGCACGTGAATGGGTGCATGTGTGTTTGTGTGTGTGTGTCTGCACGTGAATGGGTGCATGTGTGCGCGTGTGTGTGTGTCTGCACGTGAATGGGTGCATGTGCGTTTTTGTGTGTGTCTGCACGTGAATGGGTGCATGTGTGCGCGTGTGTGTGTGTGTGTCTGCACGTGAATGGGTGCATGTGTGCGCGTGTGTGTGTGTGTGTCTGCACGTGAATGGGTGCATGTGCGTTTTTGTGTGTGTCTGCACGTGAATGGGTGCATGTGCGTGTGTGTGTGTCTGCACGTGAATGGGTGCATGTGTGCGCGTGTGTGTGTGTCTGCACGTGAATGGGTGCATGTGCGTTTTTGTGTGTGTCTGCACGTGAATGGGTGCATGTGCGTGTGTGTGTGTCTGCACGTGAATGGGTGCATGTGTGCGCGTGTGTGTGCCACCGCGCGGGTTTTCCACTGAGTCGCCCTCTCCAGCGGATGTTGTGTGCAAGCGGCAATTTTATTTTTATTCTTTCATCATTTTTGTTCCCCCTCTCCCCCTTTTCCATGGGTTTTATTATATTTATTATATATTTTTTAAATGTTGGCTTTCCCCGTGTTCCATCCCAGCTCCACCCTCTGCCACACACACACACGCACGTACGTGTGTGTGTGTGGCAGAGGGTGGAGCTGGGATGGGTGTGTGTGTGTGTGGGGAGCGGCAGCAGAATCGGTCAGCGCACTGCGCTATGAACCCAGCCACCTCGAGTTCTAATCCCGCTCGCGGCCGATCAACGAGTGGCGAATTTATACCCGACCCGGCCTTTCAATTGGCACCTGGTGCACTGCGGGGAAGACTAAGGCGGCCGGGCGTGGTGCTCGCCAAACAGCACTTGCCCTAGCAGTCTGTTAAGACTATACAGGGGTGGAAGCAGGGTGGGTGGGTGGGTGGGGGGGATCTGTGTGCGTGTGCGTACTCATTTGAGTTTTAAGGGAGGGGGGGGGGGGGAGCAAACAAAACAAAAAAACACAAAACCGAGAACCAGATGCCATCAGAGAGTAAAGACAAACACCTCGGGGACCTCGAGAACCCAGACACACCGAGGCAACGAGCGGGCTCCCCGCACCCCACCACGTCGACCGCTGCGGTGGTTGGGGGCACAACGAGTTCCTTTCGTGAGTCGAGCACCGACGCGTGGCGAGTTGACGGTCGTGTGGCCGGTGGAAAAGAAAATGCAAACCACACGCGCCCGGCCCCCTACCACCTTGTTTCTCCCCCCCCCAGCCACCGCCACACCGTGCCGATGTTTGCACACCGCACCGAGCCGAGCGCTGATCGACGAGCCAGAGTTGGTGATGGTGGGGAGGGCCCCCATCCGCACAGATTGGTTGGAGCCGTGACCAGCAAAGTCAGACTGTTAGAGTAGCCTGCCGACACAAAAACAGCGGCCGCGGTTCGCCGCTAAGCGACGGTTGACGTCGCGACAGCGCTTGTGCCAGGCTAGGTGCGCTTCGTGTGTGCGCCACAAATGCACGCGCACAGGTACAAAGTCAAATATGCCCTTGTGCAGCCTGCGCAGGGTATATTATCGATGAGGGCCACCACGGCACACGAGGGGGTGGGTGGCCAGCACCACCATCACACATCGCACCAGGTACTCATTTGAGGCTGAGTCGACCCCCTCGGCACAACAATAACAACAACAATAACAACAACAACCGTCATTTGCCACTAAGTGGCGGGGACGTCACCATGGCGCCTGCGCCGGCCGATGGCAGAAGGTCACAGGGCAGACCCCGGGTGCCCCGGGTTGACTGAAATGATTGGCAGGTGCATCACCTGTGTCCACCCCCTCCACCATCACCTGTGCCCCCCCCACCATCACCTGTGCCCCCCCGCCATCACCTGTGCCCCCCCCCACCATCACCTGTGCCCCCCCCACCATCACCTGTGCCCCCCCCCACCATCACCTGTGCCCACCCCCCCACCATCACCTGTGCCCCCCCCACCATCACCTGTCCCCACCCCCCCCACCATCACCTGTGCCCACCCCCCCCACCATCACCTGTGCCCACCCCCCACCATCACCTGTGCCCCCCCACCATCACCTGTGCCCACCATCACCTGTGCCCACCCCCCCACCATCACCTGTGCCCCCCCCCCCACCATCACCTGTGCCCCCCCCCCCACCATCACCTGTGCCCACCCCCCCCCCTCTCCACCATCATCTGTGCCCACACCACCACCACCGCCACCTCAACTGTGCCAACTTGCTGTGTGTTTATCCGCCCGGCACTCAGCTCGTTTGTTGTGAGCGTCGCTCCTACACACACACAAAGGCAAAGATCCCCCGCGTAGTCTTAACAGACTTAGGGGCAAGTGCTGTTAGCGAGCACCTATGAAGGCCGGAACGGTGGGTGGCCAGCACCACGTCCGACCGCCTTTGTCTCCCCAGGGGTGATGTTTACACACCGCACCAGGTACTCATTTGAGGCTGAGTCGACCTACGGGAGGCCCAGGACCGGTTCAGATAATCGTCACTAGTGTTGGGGAATCGAACTCGGGTTGCCGGGTTCATAGCGCAGCGCGCTAACTGCTACACTACCGCTACAAACACACGCACACACAAACACACACGTACACACAAACACGTACACACAAACACACACAAACACGTACACACACAAACACACACGTGGTTCTCTGTTGCTGCTGCTGCTCCCCCCCTGCAGCGCAGCAGTACGCGGTTGTGTCTGGTTGTTGTTTTGGTGGTGGCGGTGGTGGTGGTGGTTTTGGCCACGCCGTGTGCCGTGGTTGCGTGAGTCTGGGCTTTTTTTTATCTCGACGAGCCGCAAACGGCATCGCAGGGGCCGGGCTGCTGCCACGGCGCGAATACTCCGGGCGCGATCGCGAGATACCGTGGCCAGTGAGCGTGGGGGGGCAGGGTAGGGGAGGGGGGCTCGAGAGGGATGGAGCGAGGGAGTAAAGGAGGGGGGGGGCATGGGATTGAGGAAGGTGAAGTCATGAAGGGAGACGGGGAGGTGTGGAAAAAGAGAGAGGAAGGGGTGGTCATAGAAGAGGAATTTACGAGTAGAACTGTCCTATCTGCTATGTGAGTAATCGATTACCCTTGACGATCGTCGGTTGATTCGTCGAACAATCGGATAAAATGAAAATGGTCGGAATAAAATGACCGGTGACGGTCAGCGCTTGGTGTGGCATCGGCATCGTCAGCCACGTCTCGCTGGGCGTGGCTTGTTGGGGGTTTCCCTCCTTCGGGAGGCACTTGGACGTGGGGGGCAGCTGCCATTTCAAACGGGGCCCCGAGTAAATGACCAGAAAAAAAAGTCCAGAAGAATCTTCGTCCATCACTCGACGTAATCGCGCCAGCTCTGTTGGGTAGTTTTGGCCAATTCCACGCGTTGCGTGTGGGAGGAATAGCAGACCGAGTTCTCTGGGGGGATGGAAATGGAGTGCCCAGGCTGTATTTCTGATAAACTCGATTTCTCATGAACTGCAGGAGGGGTGGGGGGGGGCAGTGTGGTGGGTCACGGTAAGGAGATGGATTGTTTGAGATGCACAAGGCAACGGTGGCGGATCCAGGAGGTAGGGGGCGATGGCGGGGAGGGTGGGGGGGCATTGCCCCCCATCGTAAAACTCTCCTCGCTCCTCACCGTGGGCCGTTGTGCCCCAGTTGCCGCGGTTCAAATTTTTCCAAATTCGAATGGATGCCGATTAGGCAGCACCAGCAGCCACTGGGTTTGGTGCCCTTTCACCCGCGTGGAGAGGAGATGTCGTGTAAGACGCTCGTCGCGGTATGGAAGTGCCGTCAGATGCCCCCCGGCGCAAAGGGATGGGGCGGCTCGAGATCGCGGACAAATAATTTGCCTCTTCTTGGTTCTTTCGGTAAAGTCACGTAGAAGGGAAATAATAAAATAAAACAAAATAAAATAATAAAATAAATTTATATAAGTTTTTTTTTCCCTTCTACGTGACTTTGCCGAAAGAACCAAGAAGATGAATCCCTGCAGTCACGAAAGCTTTAAATCGAAATAATTTGCCGTTGACCTGAAAACACAGAAATCGTCACGGATGACACAGCACATGCGCGTTGTCTTTGCAGGCTGGACGGGCATGGTGTACACGCTGGCAGGCGCCGTGACGCTGGGTGAGCCACACCGCCACTTCGATCGCGCCGTCGCCCGGCACGCTGTCGCTGGCGGCAACGGCGGTTTGGGTTGTGACGCGGCGTCCAACACGGTCGTGGGGAGCATGGGGGGACGTGTGTGTGTGTGAGAGAGAGAGTGTGTGAGTCTGAGTGTGTGTGAGTGTGTGAGAGTGAGTGTGTGTGTGAGTCTGATTATGTGTGTGTGAGAGTGTGTGAGAGTGTGTGTGTGAGAGTCTGAGAGTGTGTGTGAGTGTGTGTGAAAGTGTCTAAGTGTGTGAGTGTGTGTGAGTGTGCGTGAGTGTGTGTGTGTGAGAGTGTGAGAGTGAGTGTGTGTGCGAGAGTCTGAGAGTGAGTGTGTGTGAGAGTGTGAGAATGAGTGAGTGTGTGTGTGAGAGTCTGAGAGTGTGAGAGTGAGTGTGTGTGAGTCTGAGTGAGTGTGTGTGAGTCTGAGAGTGTGAGAGTGTGTGTGAGTCTGAGTGTGTGAGAGTGTGTGTGAGTCTGAGAGTGTGAGAGTGAGTGTGTGTGTAAGTCTGAGTGTGTGAGAGTGAGAGTGTGTGTATGTGTGTGAGTCTGAGAGTGAGTGTGTGTGTGTGAGTCTGAGAGTGAGTGTATGTGAGTGAGTGTGAGAGTTTGAGAGAGTGAGTGTAAGAACGTAAGTGTGAGTGAGGAGTAGTGGTGTAGTGGTTAGCGCTACCTAGAGTGTTATAAATATGGAATAAGTCGATGGGTCAATGACCCGAATGATAATGATTGCACCACCACCATCCCAGCGTGGACGAACGAGGGCCTTCATCCGAGTACGTCCTGACCCAGGAAGGTGTGCCCATTATTTGCGTCAGATCGCGTTATTTATAAATGTGTCGTAACCCTCCACCACCCGACACGGCCAAACAGTAAAAAAATGTGTCACGTTTTCAAAGGACAAAATAATTCACTTCTTCAGCCCACCGGTGGGCTAAAGAAGTTGGTGGGCTAAAGAAGTTGGTGGGCTAAAGAAGTGAATTATTTTGTCCTTTGAAAACGTGACACATTTTTTACTGTTTAGCCGTGTCGGGTGGTGGAGGGTTACGACACATTTATAAATAACGCGATCTGACCCAAAAACCTATATTATGAATTCTGTGATCGTGCCGAAATCCACTTGCGACTCGGTGATTATGCTCGCGGTTACCCACATCCGTCTAAGTCCACCGCAGAGTTCGCGTCGGTGGTGGGGGTGGGAGGGGGGGAGCAGAGAGAGGGATTAGTAGGCGGGCACTAGGATGTTCTGAACTTGCCCTTGCTGACAATCCCCAATGTTGCCGCTGCCTCTGGCAGGCCCAGCGGGAGCGGAGCAGCGAGTGGAAGCACATCACACCGTGGTGCTGGGCGACGGAGACCACGTGCTCATGCAGAACCAGGTGCCCGACCGCCGCATAACGACGAGCACCGAACAAACCACCAACGAGCAACACCCAACAAATACTGACTCATGACCACCACCAAATGGCCAACTCCAAACGGACATTGACTTCACGACCAAGTTCATGTATTAGGTATAGTCACTGTGAGCCATTCGGCTCTTGAATCGGGTGCAACCGCAACAAACAAAAAAACATGAACAAAAACATCTTAAAGTGACTATGTGACTGAGTGCAAACAGAAAATCCAAGAAAAGACAGCAAAACATTGCAGAAAAAGCACCGTACACCAACGCTGTGTGCAAAAATCCCAGTGGGATGCAAGTCAAACAACCAACAACAACCACAAGACAACTTAGATTAAGGCCATCAGTTTAACTCTGTACTACAACAAACAAACATGGCTAAACCAATACACTTTTCAAATCACCAAACCTGATGACTACAGATGACTACAGACTAACGATTACAGACTTCACGACCAATCACTCTCCACTGCCATTGAGAGGCTGTAATTAAATCCAGGCCTGATTTTGGCTTATGACATAACAAAGAGACAACATTTGGCATGGGCAACGTATTCTGTGTGCTGCACACGTTTCTTGTGTTCAATATCTCATGTGTTTCCAATGTTTCACATGTTTAACGCAATTAATGTCTCTCCACGTCTCCTGCATCTCCCCACGTCTCCCCACGTCTCCCCGCGTCTCCCTCCATCTCTCCCCGTCTCCCCTTGTCTCCCCACGTCTCCCCACGTCACCCCCCATCTCCCCCCGTCTGCCCACATCTCTCCACGTCTCCCCCCGTCTCCCCACGATCCCCACGTCTCCCCGCGTCTCCCCACGTCTCCCCACGTCTCCCCGCATCTCCCCGCGTCTCCCCACGTCTCCCCACGTCTCCCCACGTCTCCCCGCGTCTCCCCACGTCTCCCCACGTCTCCCCACGTCTCCCCGCATCTCCCCGCGTCTCCCCACGTCTCCCCACGTCTCCCCACGTCTCCCCGCGTCTCCCCACGTCTCCCCGCATCTCCCCGCGTCTCCCCACGTCTCCCCACGTCTCCCCGCATCTCCCCGCGTCTCCCCACGTCTCCCCACGTCTCCCCGCGTCTCCCCACGTCTCCCCACGTCTCCCCACGTCTCCCCGCGTCTCCCCACGTCTCCCCGCGTCTCCCCGCGTCTCCCCACGTCTCCCCGCGTCTCCCCACGTCTCCCCGCATCTCCCCGCGTCTCCCCACGTCTCCCCACGTCTCCCCACGTCTCCCCGCGTCTCCCCACGTCTCCCCGCATCTCCCCGCGTCTCCCCACGTCTCCCCACGTCTCCCCACGTCTCCCCGCGTCTCCCCACGTCTCCCCGCATCTCCCCGCGTCTCCCCACGTCTCCCCACGTCTCCCCACGTCTCCCCGCGTCTCCCCACGTCTCCCCGCATCTCCCCGCGTCTCCCCACGTCTCCCCGCGTCTCCCCACGTCTCCCCGCATCTCCCCGCGTCTCCCCACATCTCCCCACGTCTCCCCGCGATCCCCGCGTCTCCCCACGTCTCCCCACGTCTCCCCGCGATCCCCGCGTCTCCCCACGTCTCCCTGCGTCTCCCCGCATCTCTCCGCGTCTCCCCATATCTCCCCGACGTTTGCCGTCCCCGAGGATCTGGAGGAGGCTCACTTCGTGCTCGTGGCCGGGGAACCTCTTAATGAGCCGATCGTCAAGCACGGTAAATAACGACACCACCACCACCACCATCATCATCAACAACAACAACAGTATGGATTTCTGCAGTGTCTAAATTTAGGGTGTGGGAAACATTCGGGGTCAGAGAGGGACTCCCAGACGCCTTTGGCAGGGGCCGCGCGTCCACACGACGCCTCCACCACTGGCACACGCCGAGGCAGCGGCGTCTCGTGTCAAGACTGAGCGGCGTCGCTGCAACGTCGCTGCACCACAACGGGGAACTGTGGCACATAGCGGTCAGCGCCGCTGCGCTACGTACCCGGCGCGACCCGGGTTCGACACCCGCTCGCGATTATAATCGTCACTGGTGTTATCGGAACCGGTCTTGGGCCTCCCCTAGGTCGTGGGCCTCCCCTAGGTCGACTCGGCCTAGAATGATTACCTGGTGCGGTGTGCAAACATCGCCCCGAGCCAGCCTTCATAGGTGCTCGATAGTAGCACTTGCTCCAACAGTCTGTTAAAGGCTATACGGGGGATCTTTGTCTTTGTGTTGATGTCGATGCTTGTCTTGCAGGACCCTTTGTGATGAACACGCAGGAGGAGATTGAGGAGGCCATCTCTGACTTCCGCAACGGAACCAACGGTTTCGAGCGAGCCAAGGGCTGGAAATCCCAGAATGGGAACCGCCGTTGATGGCATCATCGCGTACAGCACCACCACCATCATCATCATCATCGTTCCCATGATCATCATTGACACCATCTCCAGCACCATCATCACGATCGACACTATGTATGTTGAACTGTTACTTCAATCACTCTGTTTCTTCACTGTCACCTACTGAGTCATCACCACCGCTATCTTCACTTTCACCAGCAACGATCGGACGACTATCATCACCACCACCACCACCATCATCACCATGACCTACTGTGTCGCTTCTGTGTTCACCACAATCATTGTCACCATCTACGGCCAGCCACCATCATCAAAGCTTTTCATTCCTTTTCTCAGTGGCAGAGGTCGCAAACGGATTTTTATTCCTTACCCGTACCCGGCCGCACCAGGGTCGCAAACGGGTACCCGTACCCGTACCCTACCCGATACCCGGCTACCCGTACCCGGCCGGGTATCGGGTAGGATACGGGTACCCGATTGCGACCTCTGGGATGAAGCCAGGTTGCAGGCACGGGTGGGTTGATTCTACGAACTTGAATTGTGAGAAGAGACAAGACGTTGGGAAAAGACAATTAGTTCACTGCTTTAGCCCACCGGTGTGTTGAAGCGCGACACCACAACATTTACAATTTGAGTACGACGTTTCGCTGGTAATTGCATCCAGCATCATCGGGCAATTTGCCAGAATGGTGATGCTGGATGCAATTACCAGCGAAACGTCGTACTCAAATTGTAAATGTTGTGGTTTCGCGCTTCAACACACTGGTGGGCTAAAGCAGTGAACTCTTTGTCTTTTGTCAACGTGACACTTTTTTACTGATTGGCCGTGTCGGGTGGTGGAGGGTTACGACACATTTATAAATAACGCGATATAAACCCAAAAACGTTGATTATGAATAATATTGGTCGCGAAAGCCTACGTGTTAAAGAGACAAGACGTTGGGAAATGAGTTACAAACGGTTACTCACCAGTGACTCACGGCCTACCCGTACCCGTACCCGGCCGCACCAGGGTCGCAAACGGGTACCCGTACCCGTACCCAGCCGGGTACGGGTAGCCGGGTATAGGGTAGGGCAACGGGTATCGGGTACCCGATTGCGACCTCTGCTCAGTGGGCATCATCACCACCATCGCCTGCGACCACTACCATCGCTTTCACCAAGTCCACCGTCATCGTCACCCATTGCATTGCCGTCACCATGACCATCACACGGTCATCATGGGCCTCATCAGCACCATCATCATCGGCACATGTTTCACCTACATGACCGCAACCATCACCGACAAAACGGTCGCCACGATAGCTTCCTACGGCACCATCGCCTACATCATCACCAATACCCCATCGCCATCTCTAAACTGTCATCGTCGTGTGTGGGTGTGTCTTACCAACAGTTAATTTCCTGCTTACTAAATAGTTTTAATATATACATGTGCTTAAGACTTTTAAGGGGAAAAAATCTCAAAGCACTGTTGCATGTAACTTATATGTGTATTGATTTCTTTATAATCACATCATTGTGATCACATCCTCATTAACATTAGCATCATTATCAGGTAGCATAGGTGAGTGTAAAGTCGTTGGATTGCCTGTGGTGGGGTAAAAAGTGGGTACCATCAGCTTCCAAACCCATTCAATACCTCTAAAAACGGTCAACGTGTGTGTGTCTATACGCCTGCCGCCTTAAAGTGTGTACACCGGTAGCCTGTCGTGTGACGATTATCTGAACTGGTCCTGGGCCTCCCCTAGGTCGACTCAGCCTCAAATGTGTACCTGATGCGGCGTGTAAAACATCGCCACTGGGGAGACAAAGGCAGTCGGTGTGCCGTTGCCGGCCTTCAGAGGTGCTCGCTAACAACACTTGCCCCAACAGTCTGTTCAGGCTATACGGGGGAGCTTTGTCTTTGTATCGCCTGTAGCCTTATAGACTGTTGGGGCAAGCGCTGTTGGTGAATGCGCTTGCCGGTGAAAAACACGCGCGGGGCTCCCGCACACACAGCATTCTCACCGAGCACAGCAAGCCCCGCGCTCAGTAATTACAGCAGCCCTACAGCAACAGCTGCACCCGCTCTGGCCGTCTGCTATGAATAGGGATCGCTTGGGTTTTTTTTTCTCTCTCTGATGTTTACATGCTCTCATACTTTCTCAGGGTAGGAGGCGGTTTATTTTACGGGTGGGAGTGGTGGTGGTATTGGAGCAAGCAGCCTTGGGACTGCGGTGTGGGAAAGAGGTCACTCCGTACTCTCTGGGTCTTTCGGTAAAGTCACGTAGACAAAAATAATCATCAGGTGATGGCGGACGCTTGTGTTGCGATCGAAACGTCGTGTTCTTTTATGATTTTTTCTGTCCACGTGACTTCAGCGAAAGAACCAGAGAGTATCGGTTCCTGCAGTCACGAAAGCTTCAAAGTGTACGACTCTATCGTTGGCAAATCGCTAATTCTCTATCGATTTATTTCCAGGCTTAAAATAAATATATATCATTTACCGACCATTTCCGTCCCGAGTGCGTTATTGGCATCGCGTCCGTCACCGGACGAAGAATCCGTTGGGATCTCTCGCAGAGTTGGTGCGCGAATCCTTCGTGATGGGCAAAGGCCCCGCCGAAGTGGATGTCGCAGAACTACGTCCGAGATCTCTTCAAGTTAGGGCACCACGGTGGCGAGATGTTAACTACCTCGCCTGGTATACAGGAGGTCGTGGGTTCCATCCCAACCCTGACACCTATATGTTTGGAGTTTGCGTGTCTCTCCTCGTGGTCACGTGGATTTTATTCGGGTCCTCCGGGTTTTCCCTCCATATTTTAAACACGCTTTTAGAGTATTTGGCTGCTATAAATATCCACATGATGATAAGCCACTTCATTGGAATATCACTTGTGGCCAGGTCGCTACTGAAAAAGAGCGAAATCGCTCAGTGGGCCTTACCTGGACCTTACCCGCTCGCTCTGACGTGACAGTCAAAGCAATTTTTGTTGTAAATTTTCAGTGCTGGAATTTATCAAAAAAAATTTTGATGTGGTAGTTTGTGTGTGCAGTCATTGGTAATGGGTTTGAAAACTCATTTCTTTAGAACTGCTTTTTGTGATTAGTTGTCCTTCCCCTGCACCTCCGATTAGCACCGTTTTTGACGTACGATGCGAAAGAAGTTCAATATACATACAGAACGGGGGTGAGACCAACAGCTCACTACACGGTTTTAGTCACGTGCAGCTACCTGGAGTCAAACCCAGGATCTCAACGGTGCCAGCTCGGCCCTCTGACCTCTGAGCCACATGGGCCACATTCAGGTCATTCGTTGGCAGTTGCCAGTCCACCGACTTGCCTTGCCACTCACGACACATTCCAATGCGCGTCATCGAGACGCTGATGTACGATCAGAGCCGCACGGGAATCCTTATCCCCGTTAATTTTCGTTGCAGGCTTTCCCAGCATATGATGCGTCGTTTGTTTATTTTGGGATTGGATCGTATAGCGTGTATAATGTAATAAACATTTACGAGGACTAAATTAAAACTAATCAAAACGTTTATTTTTATTTTATTAGGTTAGGCCTACTGAGCTACGCAGCTCTTTTTCAGAAGCGACATGGTCACAAATGATAGCTCAACGAAGTGGCTTATCGTGTTGGAAATGTATAGCTGCCAAATACTTTAAACGCACGTTGATTTTAAATGTGAAGAGAAACCCCGGAGGTCCCAGAGAACAGTCCACGCGATCGTTTTCAAATTTCAATTTTTTTTCTGGGGGGGGACCCCCAGACCCCCTGGAAGATTTGGTCCCCCCCAATGTTGACTCCATGCCTACGGTCTTGCTTCACCCTCTCTCCCTTGCGCAGCTGAACTGCGCCCAGAGACCGTGTGCTTTGTCCGTGAGTGGTGGCGCAGTGGTCAACGCACTGCGCTACAAATCCGGCGACGCGAGTTTTAATTCCCGCTCACGGTTGCAGATTGTTTGAAACCGGTCCTAGTCCTCGGCCTTCACCTAGGTCGACTCAGCCTTAAACGAGCGCCAGGTAAAGTGTGTGAATATCAGCACTGGGGAGACAAAGGCGGCCGGGCGTGGTGTTGGTTACACCCACCCGGCACACCCCTTGCCCCAACAATCTGTTAAAAGGCTATATGGGGGATCTTTGTCGTTGTGTGTATGCGTCTGTGTTTGTGTATTTGGGTGAGATCGGTAGTCTGTGTGTGTGCGCGCTTCCGTCTGTGTATGTTTGTGCATGTGAGTACCTCTGTGTGTGTAATGCATGCGTCTGTCTATGTTTCTCTGTGTATGAGCCAGTGTAAATGCCTATGTGGGTGAGTGTGTATATGTTTATCAGTGCGCGTGTGTGTGTTTATGAGCCTGTGGATGTGGGTGAGATCGTGTGTGTTGATGTATGGAGAGCGGTGGTGCAGCGGTTAGCGCGCTGAGCTCTACGAAGCCGTCCACCCGAGTTCGATTCCCGCTCACGGCCAACACCAGTGACGATTATCTGAACCGGTCCTGGACCTCTCCTGGGTCGACTCGGCCTCAAATAAGTACCTGGTGGCCACTCGGGAGACAAAGGCGATCGGGGCGTGATGCTGGTCACCCATCATAGGTGCAACTCGCTAACAACACTTGCCCCAAGAGTCTGTTAAGGCTATACGGGGGGGGGAGGGGGCTTTGTCTTTGTGGATGTGTGTGTATGCGCGCGCGTGGGCGAGTGTGCGTGTGTTGTTCACGATAACGCGCGCGCGTGAGCTGCGATTGAGAATTCCTGCAGAAGCTGGTCAGTGTTGGCTATAATTTTCCCCAGGATGTAAACGTGACGTCAACCCGAAGTAACATTTGCTTGAACTTAACTGTCGCACGCCATCCTTAACATTGCTAACTTGACTCAGGTATGCGCGCCTAAGTAGGGGGATTTTTTTGTTTTGTTTAAATGTAGTTTATTATATTTCGCCGTCCTGAGTAGAGGCGCGCGGGCCTGCAGTCGCTCACTCACGACACGAACCGCGTGTATTGGAGAGCACATTTCTTTCGGACTGACTTTGTGTGTTTAGTTTGCTTGTCGGCTGGCTATGCAAGACGTTCGACATGCATACATACGACGGCGAGTTGAGTTCATTGTTCTGTTTATTAACCACGCTGACAACTCAAAAGTGACCAGCTATGAGTCGCATTCGCAAGAGCGACTGATCTGGGGTTCACCAAACGGACAAAAGGAAAACGAAAGAAAATAAAGTTACAGCAATGAAGCAACTCAGGTGGTGAGATGTTAACTCCCTCGCCTGGTATACGGGAGGTAGTGGGTGGGTGGTTCGATCCCCGACCCTGGCGCCTGCTGCTGTATATTTGGAGTTTGCGTGTCTCTCTCTCTCTCTTTTCCCGTGCTCGCGTGGATTTTTCTCCGGGTCCTCCGGCTTTTCCCCCCTTCCACGTTGAGAATCAACATCACGCGTTTAAGAGTTGAGTATTTGGCTGCTTTACATTTCAACACGATGACAAGCCACTGTGTAGTTCAGTGGTGCTTACCTGTTAAAATAAAAAATAAAATAGCTTAAAAAATTATAATAGGGTCACGGATGAAAGGGTAAAAGTTTCGTTCGCAACGGCGGAGTGGCAGCCAAAAGGAAGATTGGAAACGCTCCCGAGAGCACATCCATCGAGGAGATGGAGCGATGAGGTCAGCTCGGTGGATTGTTGCGTCGCAGGAGGGCGAATTGATGGCGGCGGCTCGGGAAAGTCTTCATCGCACGGTGGAACGGACCGCGGCTGGATCGTGAAGCGCGCGAACGTCACTCGGCGTGTGCTGTGGATGCGTGGAGGGACGCACATGCATCGAAGGTCTCGCTGGGTCTTGTCTGGGTCACTGCCAGACTGGAGCGGGAAGGCAGGGGGCAGGAGGGGGGTATACTGGATGTGGTGTGCCGTCGCCGACCCGGAGCAGCCCCGGGGTGAAATGAATGGCTGCGCACAAGCGCGCGTGACGTTTCTCGTGCGAGTTTTAAAAGGGTTGACAGTCTTAATTGTATTGTTTACAGCGACAGTAACGATCGCTTGCGTAAACATTTCTGGGATTTAGTTTATGTGCAGGTCAGGGTTGACTTAGGTCAACGTCAGCAGCAGCAGCAGGATCACCGTGTGAAGAGCAGCAGCTGAAGCATCATCAGCATCTTCGTCATCTCTCCCTCGACCCGATGTCCTCCTCTCCTGCACTCCCCTCTTCTCCATCCACATCCTCCCGTTCCTCTTCTTCCTCTCCCCTCGCCCCTTTCTTCCTGCACTCCTCAGACCTCCTCCTCCTCCCTCTCGTCCCTCCTCCCGTATCCCCTCTCCTCCCTTCTGCGTCCTCTCTCCTCCTCCTCCTCCCTTCTCCTCCCCTCCGCTATTTACACCGCACGTTTCCGCTGCTGGCCGCCGAGGGTTTTTGGCACCGACGGGGGGGGAGGGGGGTTAGAGGAGGGGGTGGGGGAGGAGGCAGTGGGGGGGGGGGTTGGAGGAGGGAGGAGGCAATTGGGGGGGGGGGTCCGCACTGAGCGTAAAAGTGTGCAGTGCAAGTAGTGCCTCTCACTCCTGCTGCGGGCGAGACCTGTGGAGACATCGCCACAACACCGGTCCCATCATCACCACCACCACATCATCACCGGTCCCATCATCACCACCACCACATCATCACCGGTGCCATCACCACCACCACCACATCATCACCGGTGCCCTCACCACCACCACATCATCACCGGTGCCATCACCACCACATCATCACCGGTCCCATCATCATCACCACATCACCGGTCCCATCATCACCACCACATACCCGGTCTCATCATCACCACCACATTACCGGTCCCATCATCATCATCACCAACACCACCACATCAGCATCTGCATCATCGCATCACCGGTGCCATCATCATCATCATCATCGACCACATCGACAATACCGGCCACCACATCACGAGCCTCCCAGCTGTGCGCTATCTCTCTCCCGGAGCCTCTCCTCTCTCTCCTCGAGCCCCCTGCGGCGCTTCATGGCGGAGACTCGCCGGTGAGAGAGGTCCCTGACGCGACTGAGCACCGCGAATTCCTCTAGCGTCGATCCGACTCCACCAAAGTGACCTCGCCGCCGGACGTCGAGCCATGCGGATTCTCATCCTCGTAGCTCTGCCTGCACCATCGCGCCGCTGCTGTCTTCCATCATCATTACCATCATCACCATCATCAGCACCGCCGTCGTCGTCATCATCACCGCTGCCACTGCCATCGTCATCGTGGGAACTAGCAGGGTCAGGCATGAGGTCAGCTCACTGAGAGCCACGGCGACTCCTTTGAAGACGGCTCAGATGATCATGAAGCGGAGGCTGCTGATGATGATGATGGTGGTGGTGGTCCTCATGGGACTGTGGTCTATTCCCTGCACATCGGCTCTGCCTCGCCCCGGAGTGTCAAGGGTTCAGGTTCGATCGGACCCCGCGACGGGAGGAGTGAGCGACACGCGTGGTGGTTACGAGGTGAGTGTGTGTTTCTGTGTGTGTGTTGTGTGTACTGCTGTTGTTGGGGAGGGGGCGGTTGTGTTGTAGTCAGCGCACTGCGCTACGAACCCCGCCGTCCAGGTTCGATTCCGGCTAAGATCAGCGGTAATCATCTGAACGGGTGCTGGGCCTCTCCTAGATCAACTGAGCCTCAAATGAGTTCCTGGTGCGATGTGTCAAACATCGTCATCGATGAGACAGAGGCGGCGGGCAGCAGTGCTGGCCACACCGCCGCCTCGTGTTTCCGTACCATAGGTGCTCACTAAAAACGCTTTCCCCAACAACACTTGCCAGTTCAGGCTATAGGGAGGATCTTTGTCTTTGTCGTGTGCATGTACCACTGTGTCAATGTGTGTGCGTTACTTCGCGTGTTAATGTGCGTGTCGGTATGAGTGTGTGCCAGTGTCCCAGCTTGAGTGTGATACTCAAGTGTGTCAGTGTGTGTGTGCCAGTGTCCCAGCGTGAGTGTGATACTAAAGTGTGTCAGTGTGTGTGTGCCGGTGTCCCAGCGTGAGTGTGATACTAAAGTGTGTCAGTGTGTGTGTGCCTTTGTCCTAAAACAACCCCCTACCTCATCGTTGGTGCCGGACGGTAACGCTGTGGTGAGCAGTGCCATGTGGGGAGGGCAAATTTCGATTGGCCATTCCCCTCTTGCCGTTTGTAGCCACCACAGCGGCCAAAGGGGGCTCTGGACGGGTGCGAGGGGCTGGTAACACCTCCACCTTCAACCCAAGTACCACTAAACCACGAAACAACACTCGAATTAAGCTCGTGCCGGAGGCCCCAAGGGGACAGGCATCCATGACGTCTCCTGGCCAAACTCTATTTGGCAGAGCCAGGAGATTGAATCAGTACCCTCGGGGTTCCTCCAGAAACAGCTAAAAGCCACTGCGGGTGGCCACGTGGAATGTTCGAATGCTCACTGTGGAGGAGAGGCTGCCACTCCTCTGTCGGGAGCTGGACCGGTACTGCCTGGATCTCTGTGGTATTCAGGAGGTCCGGTGGACCGGCTCTGGCTCCTGCCACCATGAGGAGTGGACAGTCCTCTACTCGGGGCAAGAGATTGCCAAACAACAGGGAGTGACTCTTCTTCTGAACAAAATAATTAAGGGGGCGTGGGAGCGTGGCAGTGAGGTGTTGGAAGCTGTAAGCCCCAGGCTACTTTGGGCTCGCCTTCCCATAAACCAGAGGTGAGGAGTGGTGGTCGTGGATACGTATGCCCCCACCGAAGACGAACATTCGTGGAGGGATGCAGGCAAGGCAGATGAGTCAGATGCCTTTATGACCTCCTGTCACAGGTGCTAGCTAAAGTGGCCCCTCGGGATAGAGTCATCTTGTTGGGTGACTTTAATGCACGAGTTGCCCATGATGCTGGCACCTGGTCTGGAGTGATTGGAAGGCATGGGCCAGATCAGCTCAATAATGGCAGGAGGCTGCTAGATTTTTGTGCAGCTTGTGCAGCTTGTAATTACCAACATGCTGTTCCGGCATCGGCGCATCCACACAACATCATGGATGCATGCCGGGTCCAAGCAAGAACATCTGCTGGACTACATAGTGACAGAACAGCGGATGTGGACCCATGTCCTTGACACCAGAACCTACCGTGGAGCTGATCTGCCCACTGACCATCGACTTGTCATCTGTAAGATGCGCCTGCCATTCTTCCACTCCAGTGGTGGGTGTACACCCAGGACCCTATTCAAAACTATAGTGGCCTGGTTTCAGCTAGCTGATGAAAGTTGCAAGCGAGAAATTCATCATCGCTTGCGGCCGGGGTTGGCATCGTCCTCCACTCCTCCTGATGTCGAGGGAAATGGACGAGGTTCAGGACTGTGGTTCAAGCAGCTGCAATGGCTGCTTTGGGTACAAGGTCCAGACCTCCACAGTGACCCTGGCTGACAGAGGTGTTCAGGCTGGCTGAGAAAAAGTGACAGGCCCACTTTCATCGTCTACAGCATCCCACGTCAGAGAATGAGGAGGCTTACTGCAGACTTCACTCGGAGGTTCGGAGAGCCGTGAGGCGCTGCAAGGATGGGTAGTGGTCGCAGGGTGCTGAGGAGATGGAATTTGCCTCAGTAGTTCGCGATCACAAATCGCTCTTTAATTCCATAAAAAAGTAACCTGCAGCACCACACCTCTTACCATCATTAACAAAAAGAACGGTGATCCAATCTCTGATCCCCAGGAACAGGTTTGCAGATTTGCTGAGCATTTATATGAGGTCCTGGGGGAGGGGAAATCCTTCAGCCTGGAAAACATCGTGGGGCAAAGTGGGGATAACCCTACTGAGGCTGGAAGAAGAAGTCACCCCCTGTGAGTGGCTGGCTGAGGTGCCATCTGTTGAGGAAGTAATGAAGGCGATCCAGAGTCTGAGACCAGGAAAGGCACCATACAGAAATGATCTCCCAAGCGAAATGCTAAGGGAGGGTGGCGTTTGTGCACAGACTGCCCTACATGACACCATAACAACAGTCTGGACCACTGAATGGGTTCCGCAGGATTAGAAGGATGTCCTGGTGGCCCCCCTCTTTAAGAAGGGGGACCGCACAGACTGTAACAACTACAAGAGCATCTCACTCCTCAGTGTGCCGGGAATGGTCCTGGCAAAGATAATTCAACATCGCCTTGCTAGGCACGCTGAGGAGAGGCATGCGGAGCCTCAATGCGGTTTCATGAAAGGGCGGTCCTGCACAGATGCCATGTTTTCTGTCCGTCTGCTACAGCAGAGATGTAGGGAATTCCAACAAGACCTACATCTCTGCTTTATTGACCTGGTCAAGGCCTATGATACCATCAGTAGGCCTGGGCTCTGGGTTGTTCTTCGTGGTCCGGAGACCCTGACTCTTTGCTCACAATTATTAAGGACCTTCATGATGGTGAGCGGGCCCAGGTAAAACTACGTGGCTGGGAGTCGGAGCCATTCCATGTTCACCTTGGTGTGCGACAGGGATGTCCTCTGGCTCCCACATTATTTAACATCTATTTCGACCACGTAGTTCGTGAAGCCTTTGATGGCTGTACCGGAGGAATTTCCATCTCGTACAGATACAATGGGAGGCTGATCGATGCTCGGGGGTGGTCAAGGGATGGCTCCCTATTGGTAAACCATGTTACGTATGCTGATCATCTGGTAATTGCTGCTCACTCAGAGGGGGAGTTGGAGGCGCTGCTGCTGAACTGGAGCATGCCACTAAGAGGTGGGGCCTTACCATTAGCTCCACCAAAACTTAGCACCTGCCTGGGTAATTTGTACCATCGGACACTCCACCCCCACAACTCCCAATTAGTATTGCGGTAGTTGTGGAGAGAGTGGAGAGTTTCCCATACCTGGGCAGAGTGTTCATAACCGGCTCCGGTTTGACATCAGAGGTCTCACTCCGAATCAGTCGAGCAGCATTATCTTTTCATTGGTTGCGTGACGCTGTGCGGAAGCTACCTGGTCTGTCGCTCCACACGAAGCCTCAGGTCTTCTCGGCCACAGTCATGCCCTCCCTTATCTACGCTTGCGAAACGTGGACCCCCCTAATGGAACATCTTCACCAGTTAGAAACATTTAGGCTGGCCTGCCTACGATCCATCCTGGGTTTAACCAGGCTGGATTGTGTAAGGAGCTCACATATCCTTGAAAGACCGGGACAAAGTCCCATCGATGAGCTCCTCCGGCAGGCGGCTGCGTTGGCTGGGTCATGTAGCCCGCATGCCCAGCCACCGCATTCCTAAACAGCTTTTGTTCGGCTGGATAGAGGGAGCTAAACGGGCGCGGCACGCGCTAGAGAAGAGATGGAGTGATGTAGTACAGGAGGATGTGGAGCTGAGTGGACTTGTCGATGACTGGTACCAGCCATGTCAAGATCGGCCTCTGTGGAGGAGGCTCGTGAAGGACGCTGCTACTGGGCAGTTGGAGACAGTCGCCCTCCAACAACAACGGAGGGCGGGGCAAAGACGCTCACAAGAACGAGTGGAGCGCCGGGTGGCTAAAGCACAGCAAGTGGGCACAGTAGGGGGCACAGGTGGTGCATCAGTCAGTCGACCCATGGCACCTGCTGGGTCCGCCCCGTGACCTCCTGTCAGCAGGCGTTCGACACTTCACGTGGCCTATAACGTGCACCTAGCCTGGCACAAGCGCCGTGGTGATGTAACCGCCACTTATTGGCGAATGGCGCTTGTTGTTGTTGCAAGTATCCCAGCGTGAGTGGGATAACAAAGTGTGTTAGTAGGTGTGCACCCGTGATGATGATGTGGGTACCCGTGTTGTTGTGCACAGGGGTGTGTGTGATGATCATGATGTGGGTACCCATGTTGTTGTGCACAGGGGGTGTGTCTGTGATCATGATGATGTGGGTACCCGTGTTGATGTGCACAGGGTGTGTGTGTGATGATGACGATGATGTGCACAGGGTGTGTGTGTGATGATGATGATGATGTGGGTACCCGTGTTGATGTGCACAGGGTGTGTGTGTGATGATGATGATGTGCACAGGGGGTGTGTGTGATGATGATGATGATGTGGGTACCCGTGTTGATGTGTACAGGAGGTGTCTGTGATCATGATGATGATGATGTGGGTACCCGTGTTGATGTCCACAGGGGGTGTGTGTGTGATGATGATGATGATGTGGGTTCCCGTGTTGATGTGCACAGGGGGTGTCTGTGATGATGATGATGATGTTGTGCACAGGGGGTGTGTGTGATGATGATGATGTTGATGTGCACAGGGGATGTCTGTGATGATGATGATGATGTGCACAGGGTGTGTCTATGATGATGATGATGTTTATGTGCACAGGGGGTGTGTGTGATGATGATGATGATGTGCACAGGGGGTGTGTGTGATGATGATGTTGATGTGCACAGGGGGTGTCTGTGATGATGATGATGTGCACAGGGTGTGTCTATGTTGATGATGATGTTGATGTGCACAGGGTGTGTGTGTGATGATGATGATGTGAGTACCCGTGTTGATGTGCACAGAGGGTGTCTGTGATGATGATGATGATGTGGGTACCAGTGTTGATGTGCACAGGGGGTGTCTGTGGTGATGATGATGATGTGGGTACCCGTGTTGTTGTGCACAGGGGGTGTGTGTGATGATGATGATGATGTTGATGTGCCCAGGGGGTGTCTGTGATGATGATGATGATGTGCACAGGGTGTGTCTATGATGATGATGATGTTGATGTGCACAGGGGGCGTGTGTGATGATGATGGTGATGATGATGTTGATGTGCACAGGGCGTGTCTATGAGTTCACAACCCTCGCCGTGGAGCCTCGTTCGCTGTCGCCTCAAGCGCTCGGGGACTCCGGCCACGTTCAACATTAACTGGGAGAGTGCGTGAACATCATCATCACGATCATCATATCACGAGCATCATCATTATCATGGGCATCATCATCAAGGCCATCATCATCATCATCATCGCGGGCATCATCATCACCATCATAATCACGCGCATCATCATCATCCAGGGCATCATCATCACGATCATCCTCATCACGGGCATCTTCGTCATCATCACCATGGGCATCATCAATTATGATGAGGCTGCTGCTGCTATTGCTGCTGCTGCTGTTGCTGTTGATGCTGCTGCTGTTGATGCTGCTGCTGATGCTGTTGCTGATGCTGTTGCTATTGCTGCTGCTGCTGCTATTGCTGCTGCTGCTGTTGATGCTGTTGCTATTGCTGCTGCTGCTATTGCTGCTGCTGCTATTGCTGCTGCTGATGCTGGTACTGTTGATGCTGCTACTGCTGTTGGTGCTGCTGTTGATGCTGCTGCTGCTGATGCTGCTGCTGCTGTTGATGCTGCTGCTGCTGTTGGTGCTGCTGCTATTGCTGCTGCTGCTGCTATTGCTGCTGCTGCTGTTGATGCTGTTGCAACTGCTGACGATATTAATGAAGGTGTCACTCGTCCCAAACCTCCGCCCCCCCGCCCCCCCCCCCCCCCGCCCCCCACCTCTTCCTCAAGGCATCGACCGCGAGTGGCACAAGACGCGCTGCGTGCCGCGCGAGGTGTGCGTCGACGTGGCGCGCGAGCGCGCGGGCGAGAGAGTCGCCCCCGGGGCGGCGTGGGGCAGCGGCTGGGGCCCCGGGGGCGCGGACGCCGAGGGCGGGGGCTCCGGCAGCGCCTCGTTCTTCAAGCCGCCCTGCGTGGCGCTGCATCGCTGCGGCGGCTGCTGCAACTCGGAGGGGCTGCAGTGCGTGAACACGAGCTACGAGTACATCAGCAAGACGGTTCGCGCAGCCATGCCACGGTTCAAAAACGAACTTTGTGTTGTTGTTGTTGCTTTTAGTTTGTTGTGTTTCATCCCACCCACCGGCGCAACTCACCGCCGCACCTCCGGCGATGTTGGCTACGTACGGTGCGGAGGAAGTTCGTCTGTCACTACGAGTCGTGGTTACCACCACTCTGCCACGGTCATCATCGCCATCATCAGCGGTGTTGTGGTCATCACGATCGGCAACAACAACAACAGCACTCAACACATTCGTCAATGGCATCGCGGCCTGAGCAAGAAAACAATTGACGACGTTTCGGGCAATGGTCCTTCTTCATAGCACGTTTCGTTTACGTGTTCACGAAGGGCAGTTGTCCGAAACGTCGCGTTTTTTTGTCATCATTGCCATCATCGCTATCGGTTCAATCGCCGACTCCCATGGGAGCTCGCACGCTCGCTCTTACTTCTCCTGCGGCTCCTGCGAGTCTGGAATTCTCTGCCTCGTGACCTTTCGGCATGTCGATGCCTTCCTTGTCTGTGCTTAAGTCTGATACGACAACAACAACGACGACGTGCAGTCTACAACTCTTGCACACTCTGGCTTCTCTCTACGTGCTGTGAAGAAGGGGTCATTGCCCGAAACGTCACCCGTTTATATCTCTGTTTCAACGGCCAAGCAGTGTTATTGACAGGCATATAGAGTGTTGTACGCGTTGGCCTGAGCCAGAGGTCGCAAACGGATTTTGATTCCTTACCCGTACCCGGCCGCACCAGGGTCGCAAACGGGTACCCGTACCCGGCCGGGTACGGGTACCCGTTCCCTACCCGTACCCGTACCCTACCCGAAATGAGTGACAAACGGTTACTCACCGGTGACTCACGGCCTACCCGTACCCATACCCGGCCGCACCAGGGTCGCAAATGGCTACGGGTAGCCGGGTATCGGGTAGGGTACGGGTATCGGGTACCCGGTTGCGACCTTTGGCCTGAGCACCTCACCCTTCTCCGTGCGTTCAAGCCCAGAGTCCTCGCTCCCTCAACAAGCCCTCGGCGTCTTTTAGATTCGTCCGATTACGCTGCAGAATGTCAACGGGCACGTTGCGTTTTGTCCGTGACTCGTGCGCTCAGCTGCTTCACTCACAGAGCTACTGACTCGATGACACCCTCGCTGACAGACGTTAGTGCCACGCTCACGCTGGGAACACTGGCACACTCACTGACACTCTTAGTGTCACGCTGGGAGACTGGCACACACACACTGACACTCTTAATGTCACGCTGGGACACTGGCACACTCACTGACACTCTTAGTGTCACGCTGGGACACTGGCACACACACACTCACTGACACTCTTAGTGTCATGCTGGGACACTGGCACACACACACGCTGACATACTTTAGTGCCATGCTCACGCTGGGAACACTGGCACACTCACTGACACTCTTAGTGCCACGCTGGGACACTGGCACACACACACTCACTGACACTCTTAGTGTCACGCTGGGACACTGGCACACACACACACTGACACTCTTAGTGTCACACTCACACTGGAACAATGGCACACACACACTGACAGACTTTAGTATCACACTCACACTGGGACACTGACACACACTGACACACACACACTGATACACTTAGTGTCACACACTGGGACACTGACACACACACACGCTGACATACTTTAGTATCACACTCACACTGGGAGACTGGCACACACACACATTGACACACTTTGAGTATCACGTTTTTAGGTGAAGTTTTTTTTTGGTTAAGTGAATCTGTCTTGGAGTTGTGGGGGCATTTAGGGGGCCATGCGAGTTGACAATATCGTGGTAGTCGCGTCTCACCGACACGGCTACCTTTGTCATCATGGCTATCTTTGCATTGATTTATCATCAGAGTCATAATGATTATCATTGTTATTGATATCATCATCATCGTCGTCGTTATCACTGTCATGGTCATCGTCCTGATGAGTATAAAGTGGGTGACGTTTCGGGCAACGGCCCTTCTTCACTGTACATAGAGAGGCCAGATAGGTAGGGCGGATGACAGACGATGTGTGTGTCTGTAGGGATGTGTGTGTGTTTGTAGGGATCTATGTGTGTGTATGTAGGGATGTGTGTGTGTGTGTCTGTAGGGATCTGTGTGTGTGTGTATATAGGAATCTGTATGTGTGTCTCTAGGGATGTGTGTGTGTCTGTAGGGATTTATGTGTGTGTGTGTCTGTAGGGATGTGTGTGTGTGTAGGGATCTATGTGTGTGTGTATATAGGAATCTGTATGTGTCTCTAGGGATGTGTGTGTGTCCATAGGGATGTGTGTATGTCTGTAGAGATGTGTGTATATTTAGGGATCTGTATGTGTGTCTATAAGGATCTATGTGTCTTTAAGGATGTGTGTGTGTCCATAGGGATGTGTATGTGTGTCTATAAGAATATATGTGTCTTTCGGGATGTGTGTGTGTGTCTATAAGGATTTGTGTATGCATATAGGGATGTGTGTGCGTCTTTAGGGATCTGTGTATGTTTAGGAATCTATGGATGTCTATAAGGACATGTGTCTTGCAGGATGTGTGTGTCTTTAGGGATGTGTGTGTCTATAAGAATGTGTGTGTGTTTATAAGGATCTATGTGCCTATAGGGAACTGTGTGTGTCTATCGGGATGGGGGGGGGGGGGGTAGCGGTTAGCGCGCTATGCTACGAACCTGGCAACCCGAGTTCGATTCCTGCTCACAGCCAACATCGGTGACGATTATCTGATGCGGTCCTGGGCCTCCCCTAGGTCGACTCAGTCTCAAATGAGTACCTGGTGCGGTGTGTAAACATCGCCACTGGGGAGACGTTCTGGCCTTCATAGGTGCTTGCTAACAGCACTTGCCCCAACAGTCTGTTCAGGCTATACGGGGGATCTTTGTCTTTGTGTGTCTATACGGATATGTGTGTCTGTATGTGTCTATAGGGACGTGTGTGTCTATAAGGATGTGCGTGTGTCTATAAGGACCTGTGTGTGTCTGTAAGGATGTGTGTTGACACTGTAGGGGACACAGGTGGTGCATCGGCCAGCCATCTCAGTCAGTCGACCCGTGGCATCTGGGTCTGCCCCGTGACCTCCTGCCGGCGGGCGTTCGACGCCTCAACGTGCACCTAGCCTGGCACAAGCGCCGTGGTGGCGTCACCGACACTTAGCGGCGAATGGTGGTTGTTGTTGTTGTCAAAAGGGATGTGTGTGTGTGTGTCAATAGGGATGTGGGGAGCGGTAGTGTAGCGGTTAGCGCGCTGCGCTATGAACCCGGCGACACGGGTTCGATTCCCGCTCACGGCCAACACCAGTGACGATTATCTGAACTGGTCCCGGGCCTCCCCTAGGTCGACTCAGCCTCAAATGAGTACCTGGTGCGGTGTGTAAACATTGCCACTGGGGAGACAAAGGCGGTCGGGCGTGGTGCTGGCCACCCACCCCCTCGTGTACCGTTGCGGCCTTCATAGGTGCTCGCTAACAGCACTTGCCCCTACAGTCTGTTAAGGCTGTACGGGGGATCTTTATCTTTATAGGGATGTGTGTGTGTGTGTCCGTGCAGCTGATCGAGATCTCCGTGAGCTCGGTTCGCCTGGAGGCCGTGACCGTGAGCTTCGTGAACCACACCACGTGCCGCTGCTTGTCACGCGCCGACGCGGCGCGACACTCCCACGCCATAATCCGCCGCGCCCTCGGGGAGACCCCGGAGAGCGGGTACCTCGGGGCGCCCCGTGCGGAGAGCGCGCGCGCGGTTAGCGTTCGAGATGGGCTTAAAGCCTTCAAGGGCTTAGGGGCGGTGGAGGGTTAAGGCCAGCTTCGTGGTTATGGGGTTATGGGGTTATGGGGTTCGAGGCTAGGGTTATGGGGGTTACGTTTTGGGGGTTAGGGACGAGGGTTCGTGTCGGTGTTCGCGCGTAATTAGTGGTACGGTTCTACAGTGAGGGGTTAGGGTTCGGGCAAGGAGAGAGGGTTAAGGGATTAAGGATTGGGGTTAGGGTTGGGGTTATGGGCAAGAGTTCGAGCGAGGGCACGGGGCTAGGACCGAGTTAAAGGGGCTAGGGACAGGTTTGAGCTGCCTTTACCAAACTCGACCAGCACTCGCGACACCCCCATCGATGCGTCATTTCGAGTCGACCAAATCATTTCTATTCGAATCAGACTTCAGTGGGTACACGCTGCACGTGCCAAGTGATTGCTAAAACTGTCACGTGGTCCATTCAGGCTGTTGGGGTGAGCGATGTTAGCGAGAAACCTACGAAGGCCGTCACGGCACACGAGCGAGAGGGTGGCCCATTACCACGCTCGGCCGCCTTTGTCTCCCCCCGAGTGCTGTTTACGCACCCGCTCTCACTTTAAGACCGGTTCAAATTTTCGCCACTGGTGGGTGAGCGGCAATGTAAAGGCCTTGAAATAAATCAATAAGACACCCCGGTGTCAGCGGCCAGGGACACCTCTTGAATGAAAGTTTCTTCCGACTCGGCGTGGCTCATCATGGATACACGAGCACGTGACTCGGTCCAGAATCTGCTTGGGCAAACAAACAACAACAACTTCTTGGTTCTTTCGGTAAAGTCACGTAGAAGGGAAATAATACAATTATTATGTTTTATTATTATTCTATTATTTCCCTTCTACGTGACTTTACCGAAAGAACCAAGAAGATGAATCCCTGCAGTCACGAAAGCTTTAAATCGAAACAACAACAACAAAATTCGTTCGTTCATTCCGGTCGATCGGATAGTGGTGACCGGAGTGAAAACGCGAATTGTCTTTTTCCGCGTCTCTCAGCTGCGCGCCCGTGAGGGGAGGCGCCGAGGTCGAATGCGGATCCGGGCACCTGTGGGATGACCTTTCGTGCGCCTGCGTGCCCAGGCTGGAGGCGCTGCTGGCACCACACTTCAGCTACTGGCGTGAGTGTGGGACATCGCCCGTGAAATATCTCACTCGTGAAAAGAAAAACTAAAATACAGGATATGCAAACGAGCAGTCTCTCTCCCTCTCTCTCTCTCTCCATCCCCCCGCCTGTCACAGCAAGCAGTATCACCATCGGCAATAGTAGCTGCAATATCGGCTGCAGCAGCAGCAACCAAAATAGCAGTAACGTTGTATAATCATCAGCAGCAGCAGCAATGGCAGCAGCGGCATTATCAACTCGGCTTCAGCGGTAACACAGCATGAGTAACAGCAGCTGCAAAGTTTATCATCATTAAACAGACGTTGTCGTGGTACTACGTTTGGCACGAATTCTGGGAAAATACTTCAAGATTAGGAGAAGAAAACACGATTGTAAAACAGCAACTTTCATAAGCAAACATTTTACCGTCGTTTTTCAACTCCGGACGGCGTTTCCCATTGCGGAGGCGTCTTGCCGCCCTCTTTTAATCAAATAAAAACACATTTATAAACAATACTGTGGCCCCTCAATGAATATAAATGTAAATGACGACGTTTCTGGCACTGGCCCTTTTTCATAGCAGACGAGGATTGGAATTTGCAACCTTCCCATCGCGAGCCACTCGCTCTTCTGCTGAGCCACCAAATCGGAAGGAAGGAACGCGATTCATGAAACCTTGAACGATCTTCACCTTTGACCTTGACATTCTCATCCCCCATCCCCTACCCCGCCGCTCCCCCGCAGTTCCGGATCCACCGCTGGCGGCTCCCCCGGCGCGCACGTGCGGTCCGGGTCGCGCGCTCGACGAGGAGTCGTGCGCGTGCGTGTGCCGGCGCGCGTGCCCGCGACGCCGCCGCGGCGCGCGCGGCGCGCACGGAGCGCGCTGCGCGTGCGCGTGCTCCGAGACGCGCGAGGGCTGCGCGCGCCGCGGTGGCCGCTTCCACGCCGAGACGTGCAGGTGCGGGGGTGGGGGGTGGGCAAGGGGGGTGGGGGGTGAGCAGGGGGGGTGGGGGTGAGCAGGGGGGATGGGGGTGGGGGGTGAGCAGGGGGGATAGGGGGTGGGGGGTGAGCAGGGGGGATGGGGGGTGAGCAGGGGGGATGGAGGGTGAGTAGGGGGGATGGGGGTGGGGGGTGAGCAGGGGGGATGGGGGGTGAGTAGGGGGGATGGGGGTGGGGGGTGAGCAGGGGGGATGGAGGGTGAGCAGGGGGTATGGGGGGTGGGGGGTGAGCAAGGAGGATGGGGGGATGGATGGAGGGTGGGGGGTGAGCAGGGGGGATGGGGGTGGGGGTGAGCAGGGGGGTGGGGGTGAGCGGGGGGGATGGGGGGATGTGGCGGTAAAACCAGCGCAGTCCCAGGGATTCATTTCAGAGAAAGAAAAATGTGTCTGGGGATGAGCGTCAGATGGGAAAAAGAAATCCCTGCAGCGAAGAGGATTATGGGTTGGAAGGGCCCTGGAAATATTCTATGAACAAGTTAAGCCATGGGCACAGTAAGGACTAACGTACAGGAGGATACATGAAATGCTCAGATATGTGAACATAATGAAATGGCAGTTACACCACGCACACATGCTACATTGAGTGCGGGCGGCAAACTGGTCAGACAAGATACGACTGTCGTATATCTCGCTCTCTATGTCTCTCTCCCTCTGTGTCTTCCTCTCGCTGATTCTGCGTGGTCCTGTGCGTGCAGCTGTCTCCGAGCCCCGTGTCCTCGCGTTGTCTGCGTCCCCGGCCACGCCACCCACCCGCGCTCGTGCAGCTGTGTGCCGTGGGGGCGCGGCCTCTGAGCCATGGGAGCCGAGCCTGCTCTCGACTCAGGTCCGGGACCAGACCCAGCCTGGACCAAGGTCTGGGCCCAGACTCAAGATGGACTCACACCCTTCCTGGACCCAGATCCAGCCTGGACCCAGACTCAGCATGGACCAAGATCGAACCTGGACCCAGACCCAGCATGGACCCAGGTCTGGGCCCAGACTCAGCATGGACCCACACCCTTCCTGGACCCAGACCCAGCCTGGACCCAGACTCAACATGGACCCCAGACCCAGCTTTGATCTAGACCCGGTCTGGACCCAGACCCAACATGGACCCAGAACCAGCCTGGACCCAGACCCAGCCTGGACCCAGACCCAGCTTGGACCCAGACTCAACATGGACCCCAGACCTAACATTGATCTAGACTCGGTCTGGACCCAGAGCCTGCCTGGACCCAGACCCAGTTTGGTCCCAGGGTTGGACGCAGATCATGCTTAGACCCAGATGCAGCCTGGACTCAGACTCAATTTGGACATAGACCCAAGCTCAATCCAAAACCAAACTCGCCTCAACCTGAACCCGGACCCTACCCTGGACCTGGCCCAGCCCAAAATATGCACTGTGCACTTTTTTCACAGTGCACCCAAGATGGTGGACGCTGGCATGCCCACTCATACGTAGAGATAGCCACACAATTAAATAGATCGATTGATGTAAATGCAAGTCTTTGCATTTACATCTGGTCCAGGGCTAGTCGTGGAAATGTTACGTTTCTATGGAAGGACCAAGTGTTTCTGAGATTTAAAAAATTAAAATACCCGCAATCTTTCGACTCCTCTGCATCAAATGACGCGGCCTCTCTGCGCGGTGCTCCACTTATTGACCGAGGAGGGACGACGACGATGATGATGATGCTTAAGAAGATGATGAGGACCATGATGATGATGATCATGACAATGATGATAGTTTGTTTTTATCGAGGTAATTTTGGACCACAATGGACTGTGCATATGAGGATACATGCAAATGAGCCTCGTAGAGACAGAATTAGGCACCTTATCGTGGTGCAAGCGGATGAATTCAGACGTTGGTGATGATGAGACTGCAAGAGGCCTCTTTGAAGGAAGTGTCAATTTTGATAACGAGCAGGCGGTGGTGAGACTGTGAAGAAGGGATCTTGGAGTTCTGGTGTCTGTCAACCTTTGTGGGATCTGGCATGTGGAAAGAAATGATGGAATTGCGTGGTGGCATCACCGGCATTGTCCGTGATGATCAGCGGCGATTATGCGAACCGATCCTGGGACTCTTCTAGATCGACTCAGCCATCTTGCCACACACCACCCTCCCTCTTGCACCGTGCCGACCTTAATTGGTGCTCGAAAACTCGCAGTGTTCTCAACGATGTCACTTGACTGTCTGCAAACGCTTGCCTCCGAAGTGCTGGATCACAGACGTATATCATAGGCTACAAATATGTGCGTTTGTTTTCAACTCCTTCACTGACACCTGTTAACCAATCCATATTTTCATGGTGCATGGTGTATTAACTCGTCCGGTCGAGCAATCCACATGCGTACAATATCATCGTATTTGAGATCAATATTTAACAGAGTAATAATATTACAATTTACAGACATTCGTCAATCTTCTGCTGGATGAAGGCCTCCACCACGCCGTGCCTGTCATGGGGATTCATATTCTTGGGTTTTTTCGGTAAAGTCACATAGGTAAAAAATTAAAATTAATAAAAGTAAAATAAAAATAAAATAAAAATCACGACGTTTCGGAAACGTGATTTTTATTTTATTTTACTTTTATTAAAATTAATAAAAATTAAATAAAAATCACAACGTTTCGGAAACGTCGTGATTTTTACACTATGGGGACCTCATTTGCCAGTAAAAATATGATAATTGGTTCTTTACCCTTCTATCTGGCAACAAAACTGACACCTTTTTGAAAAAAAAACTGACACCTTTTTGAAAAAAGGTGTCAGTTTTGTTGCCAGATAGAAGGGTAAAGAACCAATTATCACGTCGTGATTTTTATTTAATTTTTAATAATTTTAATTTTTTACCGACGTGACTTTACCGAAAAAACCCAAGAATATGAATCCTTGCTGTCACGAAAGCGTCAAATCTAGAATGTCATGGGGATTGTTTGGCCATACTTGACCACGCTGATCAGTGCGAGTTAGTGAAAGGGGGAGAGGGGGTGGTGGGGGCAGGACCGGTTCAGATTTCGCTCGCCACTGACGTTAATCGTGGCCGGGAATCGAATTCGCGTCGGCCGGATTTCAGGACGCGGTGCCCTAACCACTGCGCCACCGTTCCTCCAAATCATTGCGGCGCAAAAAAATGCCTTTGAGATTGCGAGCACGGAATACTTCAGGTTTATTGAGATGCCGTATTCTCCCGATTATAAGATACCATTTATTTTTGACAACTGTATTTTTAAAACAAAAGTTGTGGATGCGTCGTATAATCCGCTCGGTGGTGTGTGATCAGATTTGTGTAACCTTATTGATACCCGACGCAAGTTCGGGATGCCTCTTACTTTCCGGAGCGTTTTATACATCAGAGAATACGGTAATATTTGCTGCCATATGCCATGATCAATGTTGGCGTTTTTTGTTTTGTAAAATGTTGCTCTCTACGCGTGCATTTTTTTATCTATTGTGTACATAAATATTTATTTACATCCTAAATTCAACATTTGGTGTAAATTAATTGCGAAGCCGCTGGCAACGTGCAGTTGCTAAGGTTTTAAGGTTGTTGTACGTTTTCTTGTGCCAACGTTATTATAAGAGCTTGGGAAAAGGAGACGAGATGCATGGGAGGGAATTCTAGAGTCGAGCTGTCTCAGCCAATTCGTTTTTTTTTTACAGCCGCTTTGTCAATCCACTGCTGGATGAATGCCTCTCCACGTTGTTGTCGATCGTGGGAATTGCGTGGCCATACTTAAACCACGCTGGCCAGGACCGGTTCGGAAATGACCACTGATGTTGAACGCGGACAGGAATGGATGTGAGGTGGCGAGACGTTTTCCTTCTCTCGCCTGGTTACGCATGAGGTCGTGGTTTCGGTCCCGACCTTGACGCCTGTTGTATATTTGGAGTTTTCACGTCTCTCTCTTCCCGTGGTCGCGTGGTTTTTTTCTCCGGGTCCTCCGGTTTGTCTCTCAACATTGAGAATCAACATGCGTTTGGATTATTTGGCTGCTATACATTTCCACGTGATAAAACCACTTCGTTGGGCTATCATTTGTGACCTGGCGGGTTCGATCCCAGACCCTTACGACGTCTGTTTAACACTACTTAGAGTCGCCCGCGTGATCTCTCTCTCTCCCCCCGTGGTGGCCACGTGGATTATTCTCAGATTTCATTTCGGTTCCCCACCCTCCCCCCTTCCACATTGAGCGCGTTCAGATTATTTGGCTGCGATTATAAATTCTCACGTGCGATGATACGATAAAAATCCACTTCGATCAGCTATCAGGTGTGGCCAAGCAGCCTCAGAAAAGAGAGCGAATGGCTCAGTGGGAATCCACGTTGATAGGTGACATCACCTTTAAATGTGTCCCACCCTGAACGAACAAAAACGCGAAACAGACGCGCGTGGAAGGGATCGGAATCAAACCATTGTGTTTAAAGCTGGACAAATCCGATGAGCTACGAAGCGCTTTGTTCACAGACGTGCACGAGACCGTGAATCTGCGATGGGCGAGATGGGGACGCGTAGATTCTCGAAGCGAAATGAAACAGCAGAGGGGGCTCTGCGCAGTGAATGAGATGCGGTGGTGGGTGGGGTGGACGAGATAGGAGTGCAACAGCATAGACTTCATGGAGGCTGAACCAGGACACACGGGTGAAGCCCGGCAACCCCCTCGATCAACCTCGCCCACTTTGCATAGTACCGCCCACGACCCAGGTAACCCCGCTCACGACCCAGGTAACCCTGGCTAGTCCCACCCACTAGTCAGGTAACCCCCGCCCACGATACGTATAACCCCGCCCACTACTCAGGTAACCCCGCCCACTACTCAGGTAACCCCACCCACCGCTCAGATAACCTGGCCCTCTGCCCAAAATCATGAGTCGCTGTTTGGAGCCAGATGATGTTTCTTTTTTTAATGATATTGGAACAAAATCCTGCGACTGTGAAAAGCAACAAGTCTAAGTGGGGGAGGGTGAGGGGGGTGTGGGAACACTTTCTGAATCACCGGGACGCTTGGTGTAGCTTTATTAGAGTGCAGGAGGATGGAGCCAATAGAGGATTTAAAGGCATTAATTCTAAATTTGAAGCTTTCGTGACTGGAAGGATTCATATTCTTAGGTTTGTTCGGTAAAGTCACGCAGGTAAAAAATGTAAATTAATAAAAGTAAAATAAAACAAAATAAAAATCACGACGTTTCGTCGTGATTTGTGTTGCTTCCGAAACGTCGTGATTTTTATTTTGTTTTATTTTACTTTTATTAATCTACATTTTTTACCTACGTGACTTTACCGAAAAAACCTAAGAAGATTTAAAGGCAGTGCATGGACTGCAAGATAATTGAGGACGACAGGCCAATATAATTGTGATGATCCACGGCCAGGCTGGAGGAGGGCATGGGATGAAGGCGGAGATTAGAAGCAATGGAGATGATCATTGTATAAGAGAGGCGTGAAGTTATTGGAGAAGGCTGTGGGAGAAAAGAGGAGGCGTGGTGGGAGCAACGGTTGTGTCTTACTTCACTCCGAATAAGCCTTCGCTTTGGGACAGAAAGCTTGAGTTCGACTCCATCACGTACGTGTACCACGTTGGTAGCAGGGCGTGCTCAGAAGCACAGCGATAGCAACATACTTCTTATACATTGAGGTATGATTTTGTTATACAGTATTGTATACACGTGTGTGTGTGTGCGCGCGTGTGCAAATAGAAAACTTTCACAGATATTTTTTACTTTAGAAAGACTTGGTCGCGTCTGTCGGGGCTTACTTTGGCTCAGAGCCCCACTTGTCAGCCGACTCACAAGGGCAGCAACAGTTCTACCAAGACTCAAGAGTAGACCTGTTCAACTAAATCGTACATCCTTCCCATATTTGTCTCTCGCCACGTAAAACAAAAGTAGTGTAGATTCTATTGTGACGCAACCCTTCAGCCACACGCACGGCATTCTGGGAGTGCATCTCATCATCAGCAGCACTGCTTCTCTGTACGAGCACAACCCTGGAACGGTTTCGACGCTCACGATCTCATCAGCAGTCAGGCTTGCTCGAACCGATACTGGCGAAACTGCCCGATGTTGACGGGCAATCAGGAGCCTCTCGTGAGATATGAACGAGTGAAAGAATCGTATCGCGACGACGTGCCGTTTGTGCGTGGCGCGTGCGGCGTGTCTGTGGGCCATCTCTGACGCCTTCAAACTAAACCGGAAATATTACATCTGGCACTGTGACGTCGAAGCGTGGAGCCCACCCCCAAAGCGCGGGGCCCGGGGCGGTCGCCCCCGATTTGCCCTACCCGAGGGACGGCTCTGCGTGTCACACACACACACTGCGGTGTGGTTAGCGAACCTATGCCACGAACCCTGGCCTCCGCAGTTCGAATCCTCGCCGTGGCTCACCCCAGTGGCGATTATCTGATCCGATCCTGGGCCTCTCCTAAATCGGCTTAGCTGCAAATGGTTACTCATCAAGACTTGGAGAGACAAAGACGGCCGGGCGTAGTTCCGGGGCACACCAACTCCCCCTCGGGGGATCTTTGTCCCACGTGGCAGTACCTGATCCAAATAAATATCTCGCGTGTACTTATTTTCCCCACGTTAGATAGAGCTCTCTTAATTTGAATCGGCATTCTAATACATCACGTGGGATGCGTTTTGCAATAATCAGGCAATTTCTGAAGGTAACGAGATGAATTAATTTGTGTTTGAATGGTGGTGGGTGGTGTGGATTGGACTTGGGGAAATCTTGTTCTGCCCGACATGACCTACCACTGCCTCACGTTCACAAGACACACATCCACTCCCTGCATCACCAGTGATGTAAACAGTATCCCTGAACTAATCACTCGCGACTCCACAAAGACAGCGACTGTATTTACACGATGCAGCACGTACCATACATGTCATGAGGTATACACACGGTACACGGTATCATACAGCAGCACAGCGTGCAACGCATCGTACGCAGCAACAACAACCGCCCTTCGCTACTAAGTGGCGGCGATGTCGCCACGGCGCTTGTGCCAGGCTAGGTACATTAAGTCTCCAGACACGCGCACGCACGCGCGTCTATTTTAAGGCAAAGTGATCCCTGCGCTTAACGAAAGGTGATTAAAGATCCTGAGCTGGAGGTGAAAATTCCACATTCCTATGGTGGGGCCAAAGTGTTAATTTGGTGACTGATTCATGCGCACGTGCATAAAAAACAATAACACCTACATCACGTGTCCCCGCGCAGCCTCGAGCAGCGATGTGCTGTGCACGGGTGGCCGTTCATCCGAACAGTAACCAGGCTACGGTGCATTCCGAGTGGCTTGGTCACAGGCGCAATTATAATTGAGCCCAGGTCAATTATAATCATGCCCAGCTCGGTTATAATTACACACACGTTTTGGTTAAACGTTCGTGAATTAAACACGTGGGATAATCGCTGCTGGGGTGGAACAGTGGCGCAGTTTGGGTCTTGAGTGTACCGAACCCCGGTGACCCGAGTTCGATTCCCGGCGAGTGACATCTGAAACTGGTGCATTTAGTTTAGAGTTAAATTGTTTCGTTTCTATAGTTTAGTTTATTTTTGCGGGATATATGGCCGGAGTGGAGAGTGGGTGAGGGGAGGCGTGACGTCCGCACGATCGGACCTGGCTCAACGATGCGAGATGCGGATGTCGTCACCGCCACGCACTTGCCCGCCGCCCGCACGCCAGCCAGCCAGCCAGCAAAACTTATTCCTATTCGATTAGCCCCACCCTTTCTACATCAGTGGTCCCACCCAGTTCCTACAGCCCCGACTTTTCCGGTGGAACTAACCCCACAAAAAATGCAACCGTTTAATTTCGCTCGTAACACCGACAACGACCGCGACCTCCAGCCGTGGCGTCGGCGAGTCGCAAATTGCCGGCAGAGTCGAACAAATTGCCCCAAAACTAAAACCCCTCACAAAGTCCCCGCATCTCCGCTGCCACCGCACCACCTCCGACGTCCTCCAGCCTCCACCGCAGTGTTAGAGCACGCCGACCCACGGCCGCGGCAGGCCGCCGTGGGGACGCACGGTGAAGAGCACGGCACCCGTGGGGTTCACCGCCACCCGCACCGTCTGGCCCTGCAACCGCAGGAACGTCGTGTCGCCCGGCGGCAGCGCGACCCGCACGGCGCACCGCGGAGTGCACGCCCGCGCCACCCTCGCCCCCAGCGGCCCCCAGGCCGACAGGGACACGCTCACCAGCACCGGCCCGCCAATCTGGTTGCGGTTCACGAGCACCACGGCCAGGCCGCCCGCCGCCAGCTCGCGCCGCCACATGTCCACGTTGTTCTTGAGCTGCGCGGGGGGCGAGGGTGGCAGGGGGGTGGGGGGGTAACGGGGTAGAGGCACCGCTATGGATCGCTTGCTCTCACAGCACCGCTAGTGCAAGGGCCCGAGACAGCTCTAGACAGCTCCCTCTAGAGTCTAGAGGGTTGGCGGTAAGACTCGGGTCCTGGCATGTGACTCAGTATTAGCGTTAGACTCGGAGTTAAGCTCCAAGTCAGCATTAGGCTTCGTGTTAGGCTTCGTGTTAGCGTTAGACTCGATGTTAACATTGGATTAAATGTTAAGCTGCGTGTTCGCGTTAGGCTCAGAGTTAGATTCAGCGTTAGCGTTAGGCTCAGAGTTAGACTCAATGTTGGCGTTCGAATCGGTGCTCGTATCAGGCTGAGAGCGTTGCCGTTCGGTCCGTGCGTGCGATTGAGCACCGGCGTAAGTCGGACGTCGTTTGCCCGGAGCGGGCGCGCACCTTGGCCACGAGCGTGCCTTGCCGGCCCAGCGGGTCCTGGTTGACGGCGATAGCATGCGGGTTGAGCAGGACGTTGCGAGAGAACCCGTCGAGGTTGCGCAGGTCATTGGACATGATGAGCGGCGCCGCCATGATCGCCCACAGCGCCATCTGCGTCACCTGCTGGCTGTGGCTCAGCCCGTAGTTCCCGATCACCAGCTATGGCGGCGACACACGGAGGCACGCGCGAGATTGTGAGCAAGCCACTGCTACGACGCGTCATAGTGTTGCGGTGTCGTGGTGGTGGTGTTGTGGTGGTGTCGTGGTGGTGGTGTCGTGGTAGTGTTGCGGTGTCGTCCTGGTGCTGTTGTGGTGGTGTCGTGGTGGTGTTGTGGTAGTGTTGTAGTGTCGTCGCGGTGTCGTCGCGGTGGTGGTGTCGTGGTGGTGGTGTCGTGGTAGTGTTGCGGTGTCGTCCTGGTGGTATCGTGGTGGTGTCGTGGTGGTGTCGTGGTGGTGTCGTGGTGGTGTCGTGGTGTCGTCGTGGTGGTGTCGTGGTGGTGTCGTGGTGGTGTTGTGGTAGTATTGCAGTGTCGTCGTGGTGGTGTTGTGGTAGTGTTGTAGTGTCGTTGCGGTGTCGTTGCGGTGTCGTGGTGGTGTTGTGGTGTCGTCGTGGTGGTGTCGTGGTGGTGTTGCAATGTTGTCGCAGTGTCATCGTAGTGGTGTTGCAGTGTCATCGTAGTGGTGTTGCAGTGTCATCGTAGTGGTGTTGCAGTGTCATCGTAGTGGTGTTGCAGTGTCATCGTAGTGGTGTTGCAGTGTCGTCACGGTGGTGTTGCGGTGTTGTCACGGTGGTGTTGTGGTGGTGTTGTGGTGGTGTTGCGGTGTTGTCACGGTGTCATCGCGGTGTCATCGCGTCCGTCCAGGCCCAACCATGTCTGGGTCGTTCCAGCCACCAGGCCCGGCGGCGGGGACGATGAGGCTCTGGTGGTTTGCGGCCCAGTCGGCCAGGCTGCGCACGCTCTGCCACGAGTCCTCCACGTCCGCCGAGTTGCGCCACTGGTTACAGTAGCGGCGGATCTGCGTGTAGTTGGGCTGCATGGCGTGTAGCGCGTGGACGCGCGCACACGGAGGAGGGTTGCGGCGCGAGTGGCGGTGGCGGCGGTGCGAGGAGTGGGGAGAGCGGGCAAGGGAGTGAGGAGGAGTTTATTTAAGTTTCTTGTTTAACCAGGAGACCAGGACGGAGGCTCGTTCGCAAGGAGTGACCTGGAGCATTATTCTGCCAGTAAAGGCGGGAGATGATTGCTGTGCGTATTCACCATTGAGTACTGTAAATGCAGATCAGTTTCGAGTTTGGCAAATGTGGGCCCTGACACCAGCACACAATGGCCTAATCTTGCGAAAATTAAGGGCGGCCACTGGAATTACTAGTTACTCAAATGGCCCAGGTCTCAATGACTCACCCTGGTCCCTTAAGTTCTCACCTGGTTAAACAAAGTGAACTCGATACTATCGTGATACCCACGCGTGCGTGCATGCGTGCATGCGTGCGTTACCTTGATGTACTCTCCCCACGAGTAGAGGGGCCACTCGCACGAGTAGACCATGGGCCGCCCGGTTGCATTGAGAGCAATCGACATGTTCTTGTAACCTACAAGACAAAGATCCCCCGTGTAGCCTTAACAGACTGTCGGGGCAAGTGCTGTTAGCGAGCGCCTATGAAGGCCGGCACGGCACACGAGGGGGTGGGTGGCCAACACCACGCCCGGCCGCCTTTGTCTCCCTGGGGAGCGATGTTTACACACCACCACACCAGGTACTTATTTTGAGGACGAGTCGACCTAGGAGAGGCCCAGGACGGGTTCAGATCACCCGTGACTGGTGTTGGCCGTGAGCGGAGTTCGTAGCGCAGCAAAGCGCTAACCGCTCCACGGGAACAAGACAGCGGTCCCCCCCTCCGCCCCCGCTCACTTTAGCCTCGCAGACCGTTGCGGGGGGCGGCGGGGGGGCGAGTGTTAGCAGAAGGCACTGCCCGATTGTGCAACTGTGCGGCGAAGGCACGCGCCCTCGAGCGGTGCAACCCACCCTCCACGAGCACGCTGATGTTCGGCAGGTTGCAGCCGTCGAACTTGAGCAGGTCGACCCCCCACTCGGCGAAGGTGCGCGCGTCCACCTCGTAGGAGCCGTAGCTGGCGGGGTAGCCGGCGCACGTGTTGGGGCCCACGTCGCTGTAGATGCCGAGCTTGAGCCCGCGGGCGTGGACCTGCACACGCGCGGGCCGCCATGGAGAGTTTACACACGCGCACACGCACGCAAAGATCCCCCGCGTAGCCTTAACAGGCTGTTGGGGCAAGTGCTGTTAGCGAACGGCACACGAGGGGGTGGGTGGCCAGCACCACGCCCGACCGCCTTTGTCTCCCCAGTGGCGATGTTTACACATTGCACCAGGTACTCATTTGAGGCCGAGTAGACCTAGGGGAGGCCCAGGACCGGTTCAGATAACCGTCACTGGGTGTTAGCCGTGAGCAGGAATCGAACCCGGGTCGCCGGGTTCATAACGCAGCGCGCTAACTGCTACACTACCACTCCCCACAACATACACACACACACGCGCACACACGCACACACGCACGCGCAGGATCCCCTGTATGTAGCCCACGTGGCCAGGACCACGCCCTGCTGCACCAGGCTGAGTCGACCGAAGGGAGGCTGAGGACTGGTTGAGTAATTCGCCACTGATGTTAGCGGTTGCTGGGCTGGGATAGAACTCGGGTCGCCGGATTTGTAGTGCAGCGGGCTAATCACTACATGCCCGCCCATATACACACTCACAAGATGCCCCTCGCAGACATACAGACTGCTGGTGCGAGTGCTACTAGGGAGCAGTTGTTAAGGCTGGTACAGCACACGGGGGACATGAGTTTGATTTGCTTCGACAAAAATGTTCATCAACACGCGCGAGACTGAAATCTGTAATATTCTGAGCTGGAATGAGCCAATTAAAACGAATGAAAATCCAAATGTCACGCGACCAATACTTTTAATTCTCAGAGATGGGATTTGGCCAAATTAAGTGCAGAACAATAATGTATTATGGTGATATTGTTCGTTGTTGCCTGGGCTGGCGCCATCAACTTGCGAACACTTGGGAACCCGGTTTAATCACGCGTGGCTGCCTGCATTCGAAGCACGGGTCTCAGCAGGTCTGGTTCGACGCTCTGACCTCTGAGCCAGCCTGCCACCACCAACCCCACGGGCAGAACACTTCAGCCTGCAATCGCCCCCGCGAGTCGCTCCACGTTATTATATTACTTATTTGTGTTTCTTGGTTCTTTCGGTAAAGTCGCGTAGTCTACGTAGTCTACGTGACTTTACCGAAAGAACCAAGAAGATGAATCCCTGCAGTCACGAAAGCTTTAAATCGAAATTTAACTTATTTGTTATCGAGAGAGCACCCGAGGTGTCTTGCGGAGCACTTTACGAGCGACAGTCGACTTTACACGTCTCATCTCAACACATTTTAAATGACACCCCCAGTGTCAGCTGCCCCTGCGTTCGCACGAGGCGACTGGCCTGAAAACGGGCATTGTTCTGCCAACAGGAGGCGATGATACTCCTTGCAGAAATCTACCCGGTGGCGCCTGGTGGAGGGGGGCGGTGGCGGCGGCGGCCATCGCCAATCGGCGGGGTGCGTGCGACGGCCTCACGTAGTCCGCCAGGGCCTTGATGCCAGACGGGAATCGCTCGGGATCGGCCTGCAGGCGGCCACGAGCGTCGCGCTTGGCTGCCGGCCAGCAGTCGTCGATGCACACGTACTCGTAGCCGGCGTCCAACCAGCCCTCCGTCGCCATTATGTCGGCCATTTCCATGAACAGCTTCTCACTGCGGTGGGGGTGGGGGGTGGCGGAAGGGAAGAAGCGGGTGAGGGCTCGTTCGTTCGTGCGCGTGTGAGGAGTACAGGTGGTGCATCTGCCAGTCATCTCAGTCAGTCAACCCATAATGCCTGGGCCTGTCCCGTGCCCTCCTGCCAGAGGTCGCAAACGGGTTTTGATTCCTTACCCGTACCCATATCCGGCCGGACCAGGGTCGCAAACGGGTACCCGTACCCGTACCCGGCCGGGTATGGGTACCCGTACGCTACCCGTACCCGTACCCTACCCAAAATGAGTGACAAACGGTTACTCCCCAGTGACTCACGGCCTACCTGTGTAGGGGTTATTACAAACCCCTACACAGGGCTGTCGGCACTCACATACACGGGGGGTCACACCGACGTCCGCATCAGTTATTGCCCACGCCCCCAGCCCTCGGAGGCGATCCCTATAAAAGGTGGAACCCAAAGAGCTCGAGTTGAGTTCGACACGAAGCTGACCAGTGAAGATCCAAGACTCGGAGATTAGGCCCTGGGACTCCCCGGTCTCGCCGTCCTTATAAGGGCCGAGCCGGGTAAGCCAGTGGCGCGGCCCAAGAGCTTCCAGACCGCTGCCCTTATCAGGGCAAGGCTGGTTAGCTGGTGCCGAGATCTGTGCTTGCCAGGGCCAGATCAGTCAGCCTCCCGTAGCCCAGTAGAGGAGGACTGGGGGACAGGACAGAGGGCTTAGTACTAGGGTGGGTTTCCCATAGTACGGGTGAAGGGGCCGATACCCCTTCAACTATTGTACCTGTCCCAGAGTTAATAAACAGTGTGTCTCAACTTCGACATCGTCTCCTCCTCTACTTACTACACCTGTACCCGTACCCGGCCGCATCAGGGTCGCAAACGGGTACCCGTACCCGTACCCGGCCGGGTACGGGTAGCCGGGTATCGGGTAGGGTACGGGTATCGGGTACCCGGTTGCGACCTCTGCCTCCTGCCAGCGAGCCTTCGAGACTTCAAGTGGTGATGTCACCGCCACATAGTGGATAATGGCTGCCGTTATTATTTGTAATGTGTGTGTTTGGGTGTGTCTGTGAGTGGGCAAATGTGTGTCTGCATCAGTATGTGAGTAAATACATTTTTCTGTGTGTACGTGTGTTTGTGCATGGGTTTGTTGAGTGTGCAGGAGTTGTGTGTGTGCGCGTTTTGCGTGTGTATGGGTGTAAGGGGGGCGGTATTGTTATAATACTCTAAACACGGGTCCTCATGGCTTTACCGGGGTTCAATTCCCAGCCACAGCTAACATCAGCAGTGACCAAGTAAGCACGCAACGTTACAGCAACTATGGCATGTGTTTGGAACCGTTAGCCCAACATTGGCCCATTGTTAAATGTCCACTGGAAACCTGTGTTTGATTCCTACCCACAGACGCACACATGAAAATCTGTGACCAAAGTACTTGTGCCAAGCTCGATGCACTTTGAGAGGCCACAGAGACGCACCTGATGCAGTTGTCCGGGTCGCTGCGGCAGTCCGTGTTGCACATGAAACGCTCCCAGTGTAGCCAGCCCATTGGAGGGGTAAGCGCCAATCCATTATCCAGGGCTACCACGGGGCCCCCGAACATGAAGAGTCCCAGCAGCAGTGGCAGCAGCCGTGCAGCCGCCCCTCGAGACACCTGACTTGGCACCTGGACAGGCATGACACCTGCAGAGACACGGATATATATCCCGCGCTTAAGCCAAACGGCCTATTCAGACCCTGGGTAGTGTCACACGTTTGGCAAGCAAACACACACACACGCGCTTAAAAATTTGAACATCGTCCGAATGATACACACGGGGTGCCATTGTGAGCGTCATCACTCAGGCAACCTTGAACGTTGGGCCAAAGTTGGGCCAACGATTCAAACCACATGCCTACGTTGGCCCAATGCTGCATGTTTACTGGGTATATCCATAGTCATAGAAACGATAGCTATATTTCTGGAATGCGTCGATGGTTTCCCACACACACGCACATAACAGGATGCACCGCCACCATCCCCCCCCCCCCCCCCAGCTTGGAGGAAAAAGTAAGTCGTCCGAGTACATGTGACACGGCCCCCATGGTGTTCTATTATGTGCGTTGGACAACATTTTTTTACGGACAAATAATTTTTTATGGACAAATAATTTTTTATGGACGAATAATTTTTTATGGACAAATATTTTTTGACCGATTTGCGGTCCGAATTGATCGACGCATATCATGCCCAGGCGAATAGCTCAGTGGGCTGTAACATGGTAAGATAAAAAAATAAACTTTCGTGTTATTAGCATTTTTTTTCAAGTGTTTTGTTTACCTTTCCAATAAATTTCACTCCTGTCGTGTTTTGCCCCTACTGGGCATCTGTGAAAAAGAGCTTCATATTCCTCCAGCATAAATACATATTCCGATTCTGAAGACACCACCACCGAGCGACGTACACGACCGTGAGAAAATGCCCTCTGCTGAAGAGTGTCCGAAATGTACGTCCGAAATCGTGGAACTGCCCCTGTTGATGAGCGATGTCACGACCACCGCCGAGGGTGATCTCCGTCACTGGGGGAACACAACGAGAGCTCTGCGCTAGAAGAGTCACCGTCGTCATCAACGAGCGCAAATCACCACGTGGACTCCGGTCATCCTCGCAGCGGTTGTTGGCTGCCCATCGACGGTCATCGCGCGCTTTCAGACGCGCTTCTGCGGCCGTCTGGAACGCTCTTCCTTCCGATATTAGGAAGCCACTGGAGCTATGCACTTTTAAGTCATCATCTAGATTGAAATATCTTAGTTTGTTGTCCTGCCCTCACGCCTCCGATGAGAATGGTTGGCTACGTACAGCGCGAAGGAAGTTCAACATACACACATACATCACGTATTGCGACTGTAATGTGACTTGTGTGATTTGACTGTTCGCCCAGAGTGGGGTGCAGGGTGGGGTGAAGCGTGGGAAATGCGGGGAGACAGGAATAGTGTGCGGTGGTGGATCTGCGTGGGTTTGCCTTTATCTCTTTGTATGGGAGAGCAGTCGTTTAGTGGTTGGCGCACTGCGCTACGAAACTTGACCACCCGAGTTCGATTCCCGCTCACGGCCAACATCAGTGACGAATATCTGAACTGGTACTGGGCCTCCCCTAGGTTTCGGTGTGGAAGTAACGTCACCAATTGTAAGAGACAAAGACGGCCGGGCGTGGTTCTGGCCACACCGCCCCCCCCCCCCCCCAGTGTACCGAGCTGACCTACCACGTGTGCTTCCATGCGACACTTGCCCCAAGCGTCTGTTTGGGTTACACGGGGGGCCTTTATATTCGTCTTTGTCATACATCATACATCAGCTGATCTCACCTGAACCGGAACATCCGCATGCCAACAACAAGGACGAAGACCCCATGAGATTATTGGGGCTTTTTCTTTGTGTCTGCTGGCACGGCACACAAGGGCATGTGGGTAGCCAGCACCACGCTTGGCCGCATTTACCTGCCGAGTGGCGGTGTTGACACACCGGGGAGAAGACACGGTCGGCACGAGGGATGAGGTTGGGGTGAGGGCTCGGGTTAGTTTGCTTGTTAGTAGCCGAGTTCGTTTGTATGTATGTTGAACTTCTTTCGCACCGTACGTAACCAACCGTGCTAATCGGTTTTGCCGGGGAAGGACAATAAACGAAAAAGGTTAGAAATAATGTTAAGGTTATAACCCAGGTAGGGGTAGGATCACCGGTAGGATTAATTTTTGGGGATTGGGTTTTGGTTAGGGGTAGGGATAGAGATTGGCTTGTGGGTTGATGTCTGGGTCTGAGATAGGATTGAGGTTATAGTCAAGTCGCTGTCTGGGTTCGCGTGCCAGTCTCGATCAATTAGAAGCGGCTCAGAATCATAATTAGAATGTTTATTTATACTGGAGGAATCCGATGAGCTATAAAGGAGTTTTTTCACAGTAAGGGGCAGGTTAGAACGTTACAACAATACAAATATACAATATGAGTGCAAAGTATACAAAAAACAAACAAAAACCTTTGAAAAACTATAAAAATAAAAGACTGTCCTGTATCTTTCCAGGTAAAGCCCCCTGAGCTATTAGCTTCTTCTTTCAGAAGCGACCTGGCCACAAATGGTATCTCGACGAGAAGTGGCTTATCACGTGGAAGTTTATAGCAGCAAAATAATCTAAAAATAAAAGGATGAACCAGGCAGACACTGAGACAGACACGACACATGAAGACACGGACATTCGCCAGGAAGACAGAAACACGGATAAAGGAGACTCAGCAAGGAGACGGAGAGACGTGGGGACACGGGGCCACATCAGAGAGACACGGGGCACACAGAAAGACATGGGACACACAGAGAGACACGGAAACACACAGAGAGACACGGGACACACAGAGAGACACGAGGACACGCCAGAGACACGGACACACAGAGAGACACGGGACACACAGAGAGACACGAGGACACGCCAGAGACACGGACACACAGAGAGACACGGGGCACACGGAGAGACACGGGACACAGAGAGACACGGGGACACGCCAGAGACACGGACACACCACAGAGACACGGACACACCACATAGACACCAGGGAGACACGGGGACACGGGGACACAGCAGGGAGACACGGATACACGCCATAGAGACACATCAGAGACACAACAGAGAGACACACCAGAGACACACAGAGAGACACAGAGAGAAACGCCAGAGACTCACACCAGAGACACACACAGAGAGACACACGCCAGAGAGACACGGGGAGAGAGACACAGAGACACACACAGAGACACACGCAGAGACACACGCAGAGACACACGCAGAGAGACACACAGAGACACACGCAGAGAGACACACACAGACACTCACCAGAGAGACACACACAGACACACACCAGAGAGACACACAGAGACACACACATAGACACAGAGACACACACGGAGGCTCACCAGAGCGAGGTGGCACAGCGACAGGAGAAGGGGTCGTTGTGGTTCTGCACGCTGCGCTCTCAGCGCCGAGTTCCGGGTGAGGAAGCCGCCGAAGCCCCCCGAGTGGCCACGCGGTGGCGCTGCGGAGTCGACGGCGGTGACTCCTCGACCATCAGGAGGAGGAGCTCTCGTACTCTGATGGTGCATTGTCTTTGAACTGTGCGCCTTTTGGCGTCATCTGGTCCAACACCATGTGAGACTAGGCTCTAAGGAAAGCTGTCTCGGGTGTGGACAAATCAACTTCAAGGACGGTGCATACATTATCAGAGTTGTGTTTTTTGTTTGCATTCCGACTGCAGGTATTGTGGTCAATGCAGACATGACTCCTTGTAAAAAAAAGGTGTCAGTTTTGTTTGCCAGATTAAAGGGTAAAAAAACAATTATCACTTTTTTCTACTGGCAAATGAGGTTCCAATGGTGTAAATTCTTGCCCCGAGCTCTCATACTCTGATGGTGCATTGTCTTTGAGTTGTGCGCCTTTTGGCGTCATCTGGTCCAACACCATGTGAGACTAGGCTCTAAGGAAAGCTGTCTCGGGTGTGGACCAATCAATTTCACAGACGGTGCATACATTATCAGAGTTGTGTGTGTTTTTTTGCATTCCGACTGTAGGTATTGTGGTCAATGCAAACATGACTCCTTGTAAAAAGGTGTCAGTTTTGTTGCCAGATAAAAGGGTAAAAAACCAATTATCATATTTTTCTACTGGCAAATGAGGTTCCAATGGTGTAAATGTTTACCCCGAGCTCTCATACTCTGATGGTGCATTGTCTTTGAATTGTGCGCCTTTTGACGTCATCTGGTCCAACACCATGTGAGACTCGGCTCTAAGGAAAGCTGTCTCGGGTGTGGACCAATCAACTTCAAGGACATTGCATACATTACCAGAGTTGTGTTTTTTGTTTGCATTACAACTGCAGGTATTGTGGTCAATGCAAACATGACTCCTTGTAAAAAAAGGTGTCAGTTTTTTTGCCAGATAAAAGGGTAAAAAAACAATTATCATCCTCCTCCATCATCAAACTAAAACACTCAACTACCTCGGTTTTTTTAAAGATAAAATAAAAATGTCAACCAGGCAAGGCGCACTGAGCTACGTGGCTATTGTTTGTTTTTCAGCAGCGGCGGCCTAGCGATCGCTGAATGAGATGGCGCTTAACGCAAGTGGCTTGTGGCCGTGTGGACGTTCCGAGCGAGTCGTCAATTTTCTCTCTCGAGGCGAGATTCTGGAGGTGGAGGGGGAAACACGGAGGACGAAAAATCCACGCGAACACGGGGAGAGAGAAAGAGACAGGCGAACTCCAGACGTCAAGGTGGGGATCGAACCCACGACCTCCTGTATACCAGGCGAGGTAGTTAACATCTCGTAGCCACCGTGATGATGATGATGAGAGACGCAAACTCCAAATATACAGCAGCAGGCATCGTCAGGGTATGGATCGAACCCACGACCTCCTGTAGACCAGGCGAGGTTGTTAACATCTCCTATCCACCGTGATGATGATGAGAGATGCAAACTCAAAATATACAGCAGGCATCGTCAGGGTGGGGACTGAACCCACGACCTCCTGTAGACCAGGCGAGGTAGTTAACATCTCCTAGCCACCGTGACGATGATGAGAGAGACACGCAAATTCAAAATATACAGCAGCAGGCATCGTCAGAGTGGGGATCGAACCCACGACCCCTGTATACCAGGCAAGGTAGTTAACATCTCCTTGCCACCGTGATGATGATGATGATGAGAGACGCAAACTCCAAATATACAGCAGGCATCGTCAGGGTGGGAATTGAACCCACGACCTCCTGTATACCAGGCGAAGTAGTTACCATCTCGCAGCCACCGTGATGATGATGATGAGAGAGACACGCAAACTCCAAATATACAGCAGGCATCGTCAGGGTGGGGACTGAACCCACGACCTCCTGTAGACCAGGCGAGGTAGTTAACATCTCCTAGCCACCGTGATGATGATGATGAGAGAGACGCAAACTCCAAATACACAGCAGCAGGCATCGTCAGGGTATGGATCGAACCCACGACCTCCTGTAGACCAGGCGAGGTAGTTAACATCTCCTAGCCACCGTGACGATGATGAGAGAGACACGCAAACTCCAAATATACAGCAGCAGGCATCGTCAGGGTGGGGATGGAACCCACGACCTCCTGTATACCAGGCGAGGTAGTTAACATCTCCTTGCCACCGTGATGATGATGATGAGAGACGCAAACTCCAAATATACAGCAGGCATCGTCAGGGTGGGAATTGAACCCACGACCTCCTGTATACCAGGCGAGGTAGTTAACATCTCCTAACCCCAGGGGTCAGCAACCGGCGGCTCTTTCTAAGCACCGTTTCGTGACCGTTCTTTATTAAGGAGCCACCGCCTCGAATTTAACCACCGCGGTGCATTGTGGCTCTTAGAATATAGAGGGGGGGGGGGGGTTACCGAGTTCGAGAAAAAATGCCTCTTCTCGTTACTGTGTTTGCCTCCCCATCCTGATCTCATATCTGTCAACCCGTACGGTTGACCCCGTATTCTTGTATAGGGACATTGAGTTTTCAGGTCCATATGGCGTACAGACGTTTCAATACGAGCAAAAAAAGTATATTTGTTTGTGTTTCTCTCTTTAGATGGGAATTTGAGATGTATAAGGGGCACGGGGTGACACCAATAAACTCTGACTTGGTGTGTAATAAGGTAGGGCACTGATGAGGGGTGGACAGGTGTGTGATCACTGATCATCACCATCACTGAGCGTTGGAAGTACGGTCGGTAGCATGATGTGGAGGAGAGACTCGGACAGTAGCAGCATCACCATCATGTCCCTATTTTTCTCGACGCACAGGCCCCACAAACAAAATTCTTGCCATAACCTAACAAGGCTCCAGCAATGCTTCCTAATTCTACCCTGGAATGCTGTAAACATTGGTTTGTTCAGTCAATAGATTTTTTTTGTATTACCTAAGAGAGTTCGTTGCCCAATAGCTACTATCATATGCCACTTTACAAACGTGATCATCAGGACACATGAAAAAATGGAATTCTCATCAGGCCCCCATGTATTCAAGTGCAGTTCTGAACTTTTATATTCCATTCTATCGCTCTACTGGCCTCTATATATGTACTATGAATGACCCTTAGGCGAAATGTCGCTTACTATATATTTTCCTTTAAAGGCCACACACTGTTATTGACGAACCTGGTAACTAATTTGTTGTTGTATATATGGTTAGGCACTGTGAAAACGCTTCCTAACAGCATACCAGCCGGGCATGTGGCGAGTAATCATGGATTACAGTTGGATCTTAGGATCACGATAACGCAATGCTAGATTTCGACTATGATTCATGGCGTATGCTGATATTGTGGGAAGTTTGATTCCCGGCCACGGCTAAACCAATGCCAGAGGCACCCAGGATATCTGGATCCGTTTCGCACTTGGATCCTGGACCTCCCTTCATCGCAGGATCTTGAGAAGTGGCGGTGTCTTGCGAAGGCATTCATCCAGCAGTGGATGACCAACCACGACCGACGATGAGCTACCATTCAACCTCTTGCGTGAGCAATTATATCGCGTATAATTGTTGAGCGTTTATGAGTGATGGACACGTGAGGGTTTATAGTCTCACATGTCGAAAGATTCTCATTGACATTGTTTTATTGCTTCAAAAATAATCTTTATTCCAAAACAAACGACTGCATACTGCAGTATAGCAGTACACGTTACTCAACGGCCCGTCACGGGCCAGAAGGGTCATGTGACCGCTCCGTCGTCACGCATGCAGTTTTTTTTTATCATGCTAACCCAAGCTGTGCCAAAAATGACTGTATAGTTGTTATTGTTGTTGTTTGGCTGCAGGACACTTCACGACGCGGGTGCCTTTTCTGTATGGAGTTTGTATGGTCTCTCCCCATGTGATTTATTTTCTAAAACATCTTATTTTCTAAAATAAACCACGCAATGTACAGAAATCGGTATTGGCAAAAACATACAAATTGAGAAAAATTACTGAATAGGGGTCACACAGAGGAGCAACATCATCCCGTACTGCATAAACTTGGCAGGACCCTCTTGAATAAAGTCTTGAGACTCAGACATTCTGGGTAACCAAGTGTAAAAATAATAATTAAAAATTTAACACAAAGGGCCCATGCACCAGTGCCTGGCCTCCAAGCAGAGGCATCAGTCTACCGACAGGCGGCGATGATTGCCGCCGTGCGTAATTCCGACCGGGTGAACGTTTGCAGCGATGAGCCTCCTCCGTCCGCAATGTCAGTCCTGTTGTTGGCCTACTTTTCCCGCCGTGAATTCTCTCCACAGCTCCTCCTCGGCCTCCTGCTCCTCCCGCCCGTCGTCGCATCGCCGCGCCGAGGGCAGCCTCGCCGCGTCGCGTTCCTTCCCCTCGGTGAGGGCGCGCGGGCGGTGCAGGAACACGGCGAAGGCCACTCCCTGCTGCGCCGCGGCCCTCACCAGCCCCGCGTTGGCCGTGGCCGTCACCGCCCGCAGCTCGTCGCCCGTCCCGAACACGGCCACCGAGCGGGGGGTCACGCGGCCCCGCACCGCGAGCCCCAGCGCCCGGGCCGACGGCCCGTCGGCCACGACGGCGACGCGCCCCATGAGGGCCCGAGCCCTGGCCCTCTCCCGGGGCCCCCCCAGCGTGCCCAGGATGGAGGAGAAGTCGCGGGCGGCCGAGTCGCACGCGACCAGGAGCTTGTCGTGCAGGAAGTGGACGAGGGCGGGCAGCACGGGGTCGGTGCGCTCCTCCGCGGCCTGCTCGGCAAGCACCTGCTCCTGAAGAGCGACGGGGGGGTCATTAGTTTAACACGGGAACGTTCGTTATGCGCGCCACGAACCGTCACTCTCAAATCTAATTTTCACGTTATTTTGCGTAATCTGGTGAGAACTCGAGAGAGGAGACTAATTTATAAGAGTGATGAATGGCATTAGTCTTCCCAGAGAAGTCGATTATTAAGTTTAATATCAGGACAATTGCTGAATTTGAACCGTCAATCATCGGAACAAACGAGATGGTACCAGACAGATGTTTAGATATACGACAAAGGGTAGCACACAGCGGAGATACAACACAAACGGTGCGACGGTTGAACAGGCAGTGCAAACAAGGCCATGTGAACGTAACGATGCACACATGGCAAAGCAAGAATATATTATTATTTTTAAAAAATTATAACAATAATTATTTAAATTTGTAATACGCATTTCAACCGTAGATCGCAATGCGCCCCAGGATCGCGGCAACTGGATTGTTCCAACAACGCACGGCAGGTGCGGCTATTGCCTTCATGAATGGGAAACGACAGAAATCCGCCCTGTCCATTGTGAACGTGAAGTGTGGATCTGCTGCGCTTAAGAAAGGAGGCACGGACGCCACGCATCGAGCAACTCCCGATGCCATCGAACGGATTACCAGACTCAATGAACAGTTAAGATTTGGGAGTTTCTTTTCAATTGCCGTACGGAAAAGATATGGAAACCTGACAGGTGATTTTTCCTGCTGCTGCTATTTGGTGCTCAATCACCAAGTGGTCTGGAGCGATTGCCCGAGTTCCACGACGATTTCGCTGCTGCTGCTGTGATTACATCTGTACGGGGCCATGCTCCTTCCCCGGTGTTTCTCATCACACACACCCCCCCAGGCGCGTAACCTTTTGCGTTTCCTCGTCACCTTGAAAGCGAAGTGGCTCCCGCCGTGGCTGAGCGCGGAGACGAGCGTGAGCATCGTCGTCACGTCGAGGTTCACGCGCGAGCAACAGCAGCCACCGCCGCCCCCCACTCCGCCCGCCGGGGGCTGCGTCCAAACCGGGGAACTTGGGGGGCTCGCCGTCGCAAGCCTCGCGCCCGCGCGTGCATCGCCCCACGGCGCCCACGAATCTCCTCCTTCGCCCTCATCGTCGGAATCCGAGTCTCCTCCACGCTCCTCCTCCTCCTCGCCGCCGCCGATCGCCCCGGACAGGGGATCGGTGACGCCCGGGAGGATGTCCCCTCTGACGGTGACCCCCATTTCCTGCAGCCTGGAGGGTCATGTTTTGTGTTGTGGATTTGATGATTACCCACTGACAAAGCAGTCGATAGTACAGCGAGGCTCTCCGATTCTTTAAGTCAGTGGTTCTAAGCTGGGGTGCACGCACCCCTGGGGATGCGGGATGCCCTTTCTGGGGGTGCGAGACATGCCAGATTTTTTTAGAAGGTAAATCGAAAAGACAAATTAAGCATAGGCACGTAAGTATAACTACTTCATTTCATCAAACCTATGTATTTATTAACATTATACATGTTTTTAACGATTGATAACTAAAGGGGTGCAAGGCTGCAGTAAAGGTTAAGAACCACTGATTTAAGTCATCTTTGACTCCTAACCGATTATCGATTCAGCTAATCGAACAACACGAAAACAGTTGGGGGTAAATAAGGTCTCACCGCTGGACGGGAAGTGATAGGCGGGGCTTGGTGACGCCGGTGGGTGCCTCTTCTAGGGGGTTTCCTGCCTTCAGGAGGCAGCACGTGGGAGTGGCCGTTGTTCTTAAAGAGGCCCGAGGAGTAATCGACCACGAGAAAAGTAGCCGATTACTGTTCAAGTTTTATTTGAATACAGGAAGTCCCCGAGATAGAACGTCCAACTTACAGAACATCCGCACTTAGGAACGAACCACAGTATGATGTTATTATTTTACAGGTATCTCTGCTGACGATAAGCCCAGCTTCTGTATTCAGGTAAGGCCCACTGAGCCATTAAGCTCTTTTTGAGAAGCGACCAGGCCACAAAATGATAGCGCAATGAAGTGGATTATTTCCTAGATTTGAAGCTTTCGTGACTGCAAGGATTCATATTCTTGGGTTTTTTCGGTAAAGTCACGTAGGTAGTAAAAAAGAAAAATTAATAAAAGTAAAATATTATTTTTAATTTTATTTTATTTTTACTTTTATTATTTTTACCTACGTGACTTTACCGAAAAAACCCAAGAATATGGATTATCTCCTGCGGCAATGTCCAGCAGCCAAACACTTCGCCGCCAGTCACCTGCAAGCGACAGGGCTGGGCACGCCGCCGTAGAACGAGAAGACGACGCGCGGCGCGTGGAAGTGGAGCGGGTTGTGCTGCGCGGCGCGCAGGAAGAGGTGCGCCTGCTCGCTCACGCAGCGCACGCCGTGCGGGCACCGGCCGGCCCACGCCGCCAGAAGGGAGTCCGCCTTGCGGCCCACGGCCTTCACCCACGCTCGCCCGCCCTCCGCCACCACGTCCACCAGCAGCACCCGCGGCTGCTCAAGCTCTGTGGGAGAACAGGGGACGTCGGCAGAGGACGCTGAGGAGTCGGCACCAGATACTGGGAAGTAGGAATCAGATACGGGGAACGCAGCACCAGATATTGACAACTCAGCACCTGACACTGGGAAATCACCTTCAGACATAAAATTGTCAAGGTCGTTAAGATGCCAATCTCTTTGGAAGTTAATATCACGTTTAGTAAATCACTACCATGATTAGTAAAGCACGGTCATCATTCGTAACAGACAGGGCTACTAAAGCCCAATAACAAGTGAAGCACTGTAATGGCTATTTATCCATTCCCGTAGTTATCTATACTCTGGCATCCTGTTAGCGGCGAGCGAGCCGCTCGTGTTGGCGAGTGGCACGGCTCCCGCGTGTCGTTCGCCTGCCCGCGCGCACGCGTCTCTACCATCGCGGTAGCGGAACGTCTTGAGCACGGCCGTGACGCTGCCGTGAGCCTCGGCGGCCTGCAGAAGCGCACGCAGCTGGGTGAGGTTGCTGCTGCGCACGTGCGATTCCCTGCACTGGCCGCCCTGAACGCGCATCAGGAAGCGCATCTCCGCCTCGATCTTCGAGCGTAGCATGGCCAGGCCGGAGGGGCGGCCCCGAGTGCCCAGTTTGGGGATCGGAGGACTCGGCACCTGGTCCTTGCTCGGAGTTCCTGGTTCTGTCACAAGTGGATTTGGGACTTCGTGCTGCTGCTGAGGTCCTGGTTCAGTCTCTGGCGGACCTGGGACTTTCTCGTTGCGCCCCGTTCCTGGTTCGGTCTCTAAACGTCTTTGGACCTCCTCGTTGTTTTGGGGTCCTGGTTCAGTCCCAAGCAGAGGAGCGACTTCATCCTTGCTCAGAGGTCCTGATTTGGTCTGCACGGACCCTGTAAACCTGTCTGGGAGGTGAGATTCTGATTTGATCCCCAGTTCTTCCGTTCTCCGCAGGAGGTCGTGACCCAGCACCAGCAGCTCCTCCAGGCGGGCGGCTGTGGACATCGTGGGGCCAGGATCCAGGGTCAGAGATGTTCCAGCATTGAGTAGGGCCTGCGCAGATGGAAGGATGGGACTTTAGATATCAGGGAGACCCAGAGGAAACGGAGAGACAACAATTACCTCGCAGATGCAGAGCAAAATCTAGAGACAGAGATGCAGAGATATTTAGACTGGTGTAGAAATTCAGACAGACATAGACACGGTGAATCGCAGCAAGCAAAAATATACGGAGCAATACATAGAGAGGCAACCAGAAACAGCAGACAAAATACAGAAATATATAGATACATAATACACACACACATATACATAACACACACATAAAGAGATATACAAGAATGCAGAGACAAATATAGCAACACGAAATAAGACAGAGGATACAGAGGCAGCCATGTAAACAGAGACATTGCCGAGCAGACACACAGAGACACAGACAAATGCAGACAGAGACAGATGCAGACAGAGACAGACAGATGCAGACACACAGAGACAGATGCAGACATACTGAGACAGATAGATTCTGACACAGGAGACACAGAGACAGATGCAGACACACAGAGACGCAGACAGATGCTGATATACAGAGACAAAGTTACTTCTAGGGGCCTCTACAGAATTCAGGGGCTTCCGCCAGGGAACGGGTTGTGTAGCTCATGTCTGTGTTGCAGGGTGTCGGGGCATGTGGGGCAGGGTCTGTGTATAATGCATGGCGACAGGGTGCTTGGTGCAAGGTGCCAGGGTATCTGCGGTGCGGGGTGTCTGTGACGCAGGGTGTCAAGTCTATGGTGCTGGGTGTGAAGTGATGCAGGGTGTGTAGGTCTGCGGTGCAAGGTATCATCATGTCTATGGTGCAGGGTGTCAGAGTGTCCCGTGAAGCTGGGTGTCAGGATAATCTGTGGTGCAGGTTTGCCAACTGCAGTGCAACATCTTCGATGCAGCGTGTGGTGGTGGTGGTGGTGGCGCAGGGTGTCAAGACGTCCCGCGATGAGATCTGGAGGATTTGAAATACCTCTCGCCGACGTCGCCACTATGACTTTAGAGTCTGCTAACGGCGAAGCATAGCGGTGGATAGACCATGGTTGTTGTTGCTGCTGCTGCTGCTGGAGGATGATGATGATGACAAAGAGACCGGCCCAGCCGCACTCACTAGTCAGGCACGTGGTGCCCCTGTCACGGACCAGGAAGTAGATCGGTGACGTCGTCACGTCGAGTGGTTACGTCATCGCGTTCTCTCTCCCACCCCCCTCCTCCAACGCCCCGCCCCCCCAACCTCGTCCCTGCAACGTGTTCAAAAATCCACGTGGAGGCGCTATTTGAGTCCGGAGGTGCGGCTCGATGTGTGAGTTTGCAACGGGCTTCGTATGTCCGAGTAGACTCGATTATCCGCGCTCATGACGGTGGTGGGAGGGGGCGGTCGTGAATGATTCAAAACAGCGGACAGTCCAAAAATATAAAATTTCCACGGATCTCTATGACAAATACTAATGATCGAACGATCGATCGATGCGCGTGCTCAATGATAACTTTCCTGCTCCCGCGTAGAAGAGTCCGCCCACTAAGTGGATCATCGCAGAGCCACGCCAATCAATATCAACCAAACTCCGCCCCACTGTTGTGGAGATATGCAACTACTGTACTGTAGAGGCGATCACATGGATTTTCGGAATAACCGGAGCAACATATTTATTCGGTTTAAGCACCGTGTGACTTGTAATAAGCATTTCCAAGAATAACAATGTATAACTGGTTTTAGATAATTATTAATTTGGGCTGAAGTGAAAATCCATGAGTTATTAATTCATATCAAAATCTCAGGTGCGGAGTTAATCTGCAAATCGGATAAACCGCACGCGGATAATCCAGAGTCTACTGCACTATGATGAACTTTTTTCGCACCGTATGTAGCCAACCATGTGGGCTATGCCTTATCGGTATACCGTCTTGTTTCCTGAAGAACACCGCATTATGGAAAAGAAATCGCGTTATCATAATATATAATGTAGTGGTAAAGCACAGACCGCGATAACATGTGAGATGTGTGCGCAGTCTAGAAGCATCCAGCAGCATCCCGTCTTGTGTGATGGTACGCCGAGGCAGCGGCGCAACCGCTTGTTGCTAATCGCGCGACGTAGTTCCGTTCACTCGATCGCGTTATATCCAATTCACCATCCGCGTTATTCAAAATGCATTCCCTAATATTTTCATTGCGTCATATCTAATTGGCGTTATGAAAGCGCGTTGTAGAACAGATTGTGTTTACGTTACTGTACACGTATGGAAACTAAACCGCCGGATAAAATTCACAATCCATTGCTCCTCAGGTATAAGTACCAACTTTATTTTAAACTTCTCTTGAGTTATTAACGAATAGACAGGACACACATTTCAACGTTTTGTGTTTTTATGCATGCAGATCAATTCTTTTAAAACACCAAGTTTACTTTTAGTACAGTAGGTTAAAAAACATGAATACAGTATTTAAGTTGTTCAATAACATCATCATCATCTTTATCGCCGTCGCTATTATGTTATTTCGAAGTAGAGGCGTTACACAGTAGTTTTACTAAAAACGATCTCGACGTTAGATTCAAAAACGACGCTTTTACAAGGAACAAGAACGACGACAAACAACAACAACAACCGAATTATTATTGAGTTACGATTTGGGTGGAAAATTGTTACTGGCAACCCAGCAGCAGCACCACCACCAACAACAACCACCACCATTGGCCATCATAGTTCGTTAAACGACAGAGAGGTGAGATACTCTTAGGTTTTTTCGGTAAAGTCACGTAGGTAAAAAAAATTAAATTAATAAAAGTTAAATAAAACAAAAAAATTCACGACGTTTCGGAAGCAACACAAGCCTCCGTCTTCAGGTGGAACCGTCACAGCCACGACAGCTGTATCAAGTAAATGAGAGATCACAAGAAATACTACCCCGTATATATAGTATTTCTTGTGATCTCTCATTTACTTGATACAGCTGTCGTGGCTGTGACGGTTCCACCTGAAGACGGAGGCTTGTGTTGCTTCCGAAACGTCGTGAATTTTTTAATTTGTTTTATTTTACTTTAATTAATTTAAAAAATTTTACCTACGTGACTTTACCGAAAAAAACCTAAGAGTATGAATCCTTGCAGTTACGAAAGCTTCAAATCTAGAGAGGTGAGACTTCTTCCCCAGTTGCAATATGCCACGTTGACATCCAATTCAGTCCCTTCAACCGCTCTCATCACCGCCATCATCGTCATCAGCAATGACATTCCTTTGCGGTGGGTGGTAAAACGAACGCCACGTGGGGATGATGCCGTGCCATCCAGTTGCCGAGGGAAAGGCTGTGGGAAAAGGGGTTTATAGGATTTACACTATGAGACCTCCTTTACCAGTGGCAAAATATAGTAGTAGGTTTTAACCCTTTAAACTGGTACAAAACTGACACCTTTATACAAGGCATCATGTTTGCAATAACCACAGCACAAGCAGTCAAAATGCAAACAAAAAGAAACAACTCTGATAATGTACACCTTTTGGCGTCATCTGGACTAAGCTCTAAGCAAAGCTGTCTCGGGTGTGGACCAATCAACTTCAAGGACAGTGCATATCATTATCAGTGTTGTTTCTTTTTGTTTGCATTTTGACTGCTTGTGTTATGGTTATTGCAAACATGATGCCTTGTATTAAGGTATCAGTTTTGTACCAGTTTAAAGGGTAAAAACATACTACTACTGGGTTTATAGGAGTCGAGGGGCTACGGAGTTGTTGGAAGTTAGGTGTTTACCGTTCGGGGTTGCAGTTAGGGATTAGGGGTTGGGGATAGGGGGTTAGGAGGTTAAGGGTTGGAGTTGGGGATTAGGGCTTGGAGTTAGGGGTTTGTGGGGTGCAGTATATGGGTTAGGGATCAGTGATAGGGTGGGGGGTGAAGGTTTGGGGTCAGGAGTTGGGGTTCAGAGCTGGGGAACCGTAGTCCGATGACCTCACCACATACAAGTTTCACGACATCAAAGTCGCCTAAAACGCTACGCACATTTTATTAATACTCAACATTGGACTAGTTTAAAAAAAACACACAACTCCAACAAAAATAAAGTCTATTGCGGGAAATAACGCTAGAAACACGCACGGTGCCACACTAAAAGTCTAGCCCTCCTGTGTGGGGTGGTGGGGGGAGGGGGGGAGGGGGATTAGCGTGCAGGCAGGAGGCGGGGCAGGGGGCAAGTCGTCGAAACGCGCCGGCCAATCACACGCGCGTGCGAGCAGAGCCTTGTCTCAGCACGTGGGTGGGTGCACTCTGTTTGGTCTGGTGTGCACCTTGCACTGAAAATGGGTGCACTTTGAATGTATGCTTTCTATGACGTTTAATTGATTTTGAATAAAGTAACTATATTGTTGTGATTATAAGTTCACTACATGTGCTTGCCTCGAAGGCATATTTGCCTCGAAGGGATTTTAAATTATTAGCAAGGACGTATAGAATTATTCATGCTGTTAGCAAGTAGTTGATTCACTTTTGAGTACTTATTTTAAAATCTGACATCTCGGACTGAGAGAGAGGGGTGGGGGGCAGGAGATGGCAGTACAGCCATAGGCTTGATCCACATAGGGCGTGGTTCTGTCTGTGGATTAAATCCGTTTGTGTATTATCCCCTCGTGTGCATCAGTTTTCTCCACACATTCCTGTTTGCCTTTCCACAAGTCACACACTCATCGATGGAATGGCCAAACATCCCGACGTAGCAGGACCCAGCGTAAAAATGAGTCTTCGAAATCCGTCAGCCTTTCCCGTGTACAAAGAATAGACTTCGTGTTTTGTGTGATTGGAAACGCGGGTCTACAGGTCACAATCTGCCTTACAGATGTAACTTTTTTTTACCTTACCGAGGGCCGAATAGGACTCTGAAACACCTTCAGTGGCTCGCCACGCAATTGACCGTGTGCTCAGAACTCCGTGAAAGGAAACAGGTGACCGATTAATAATAACAATAATTTCAACTTGTATCACGCCGCACAGGAGGAACAACAGCCAGTGAACCAGCGCCAAATTCCCCCCCACCCCCCAAGCTCTGCCATCCTCTCTATATACGAAGGTGTCATCGGCCAATTAATGAGTGTTTAACACGTGGGAAGAAACCAAAGCACCCGGGCAAAATCCACGCGTGTGGGGTGTCCGCGGTGACGGATGAAGATCGTTTTGTGGGCCGTTTCGAAGTGGCAGTCGCCCTCGTGTGGACGCGGACCTTACCCAAGTGAAGCCGTGGGCCGCATCTGGCACGTGGGCCGCACGTTTCCCACCCCTGCTCGAGCCCGATCGCTACAATTACACCAATTACGAGGTCTCGTTACGAAATTAAACGCTGTGCTTCAGTACTCGACGATCAAAGAGCGACCTCTGAAACTTCCTTTGCTCCGCCTACCCAGTGTTTCCGGTGCTCTGGCGGTATTTTGAAAGAATAAAAAAATCTATTTTTGCTTCTTTAAAATATATATATGTGCCTTAAAATGCTTTTAATTATAATTCCAATTTGTGCTTCTCTGAGCGTCACGAGACGAATAGATTTCCATTGTCGAAACGATCGCAGCTGAGCGGTTGCGTCACTTTGTGCTCCAGTACGGCCGTGGGGAAGGTGACATCGCACCGCCGATGTCACCTTCACTGGGCCTCAAATAAATTCCACAATAGGTGGCACACGTGTATTAATACGTGCCTTGTTAACAGCATTTGTCAAAATGACAACGCTCGAACCGAAACGTAAATCCTCACCGCTAAACGTGTTCTATATTTACGTGAAAAACTACCTTCAACGCGGTGGGACTTTTTGTGTGTGCTGTCATCAGTGACCCAGGTCTGAGACCATGAAGTCGTCATCTCCCTTGGGAAGCCGAAGCCGGTTTCATCACGGGCGGCAGCAACCCCCGACCGATTCGAACCCGGGTATCCCTTTGGAACTTTCTCGGTGACTCTGACACGGCCTTTGTGAACCCTATAAACTATTTTTCTTTTACCATGTAAGGCCCACTGAACTAACGGCTCTTTTTCAGAGGCGACCTGGCCACAAATTATAGCTCAACGAAGTGGTGTATCGCGTGGAAATGTATAGCGTTCAAATAAAGCGCATGTTGATTCTAATGTCGAGGAAAAAAACCGGAGGGCCCGGAGAAAAATCCACGCGACCACAGGGAGAACATGCAAACTCCAAATATACAGCAGGCATCAGGGTCGGGGTCAAACCCACGACCTCCTGTATATCAGGCGAGGCAGATAACATCTCGCCACCGCAGAGCCCTGTTTAACTATCATTGTCAATGTCACGGCAAGTGGTGGCCAGGTGTCTGTCACCAGCCCCGTGTGGCAGACAATGCTGTCGCGATCATGCAGTCCCCAGCCATTTATTTAACTTTGGCAGTTAAAACCCCACGGAACCCATCGCAGTGATGGCAGGACTATGGCAGAGTATACAACACACGGTCGGAAAGTTGTGAGTTTGATCCTGGGTTAAGAGATCGATTCAGCCCATCATTGTTATCCCTCTGGGGTCGATAAAATAGGTACCACTTCATGGGCAGTCAACAGTGGTTGTCGTATATGGAGAGACTGGCCCCTGCCATAGAACTGTGGATCGGTGACAAAACTCGGGGGGGAGGGGAAGAGAGATGCGTGGTGGTCGGAGAGGGGTCTTGGCACAAGTGCTATGGTAAGTAAGCGAGAGATTGAGTGAGTGGATGCGTGAGTAAACAAGCGAGTGATTGAGTGAGCAAGTCAGCGAGCGAGCGATTGAGTCGGTGAGTGAGTGCCTAAGCGTTTTTCTGCCCCCCTTTGTTCTGCCGATCTCTGGGTGCCCCGTGGGCATGGGTGGGAGTTGGATGCCCGCTCCCTTCACAGCTTGGTGCAGTAATCCTCCCGTCGGTAGAGGCGCGAGACACCAAAGTTGTACACCAGCACGGAGCAGTAGATGAGCTGCGGACACGTGGCACAGCATGGAGTAGGCAGAGGGTCAAGCCAGGGATCATGGTGGGGTCAAGGGCCACGGTTGATCATCATCATCATCATATTCAGCTGTGATCTACCCATTAATGGATGGAGGCCTCCCCAAGCTGTCAATATCTCTCATGGCCTTGCGATGCAAAAATCCATCTTTAGCACCAGGACACGAAGTGATCTCATCACTCCATCTCCATGGTGGATGGCCTATTGGGCGAGTTCCTTCCATCGACTGCAACTCCATTATTAGTCTCAACCACCGGCCATCGTCCCTTCTAGCGTCGCATCCTGCCCAAGCCAAAGTCTTTGGAAAGCATTCCATAATAGACACGTACGCACTATTTCTCCAAACTTGCTTCTCATTGCCAAAGCCTGCGTGTGACAGCCTAGGTGTGTAGATACTCGAGGGGTGAGCGGTAGTGTAGCGGTTAGCGCACGGCACTATGAACCCGGCGATGCGAGTTCGATTGCCGCTCATGACCAACATTGGTGACGAATATCTGAACCAATCCTGGGCCTCCCCTAGCTCGACTCAGCCTCAAATAAGTACCTGGTGTGCTGTGTAAAGATTGCCACTAGGGAGACAAAGACGGCTGGACGTGATGCTGGCCACATAGGTGGTCATGAACAGCACTTGCCCCAACAGTCTGTTAAGGTTATACGCGGAATCTTTGTCTGTGTAGCTACTAGAGAAGAGCTAACCTAATAGCCAATATTGTGATCAGTGATAGATTTTCCCGCCTTTTTAATTCCCGACTCCCTGAATCTTCCTGAAGATGCTCGATGCGGTTTCGAGTGACACGCCACGTATCCAATTGCTGCTACATTTAGTTGCGGCAATCGTCCTTAAACTTGAACCGGTGCACCGCGTGGCAAAATTTTATTCGTTTGACAGCGTGGGGTCGTGGAGAGGGAGGGGTCTTACGACAAAATATTTGGCCGGAGCATCACACGGCCTGACCACAAAATTCAAGGAAAGAGCCGCGTGCGTGTCTGGGCCACGTCTTTCTTTACGACCGCCGGGGTGACGGCACGAAGGTGGTGCCCGGGAGTTGTCGACGCGCCGCACTCACCATGGACAGCACGGTGAGCGCTGCTCCCGCGCTCGCTGCCGCGTACAGGTAGAAGGCGGTCGTGAACTGCGGGGTTTGGCGCAGGGGGGAGGAGGGTGGGGGCCGGGGTCAGGAAAGGGGTTACAGAGAGGGGATTCAATGGTTACGACTGCTCGATTACGTCAGGTCAGTGAGCACCTGCCCATACTGGACAACTGTGAAAAAGAATTTCATAGCTCATTGGATTCATTCAGTTAAAATAAAGATTCTGATTCGGGTTCGGGTCTAGAACGTCACAAGCTCAGCTTCAATGACGCGGTGGAGAGATATGGAGTTTGCGTGTCTCTCCCCCGTGGTCACGTGGATTTTTCTCTGGGTCCTCCGGTTTCCCCCTCCACGTTTATAGTCAACGCTTTGCATTTAGAGTATTTGGCTGCTGTAAATGTCCACGTGATAAGCCACTTCGTCGAGCTATGATTTGTGGCCAGGTCGCATTTAAAAAAGAGCTCAATAGCTCAGTGGGATGTGCCTGGTTAAAACAAAAAATAGCTGAGTAGTTGAATAGATTTTTTATTATAATTGTTTTTTTACCCTTCTATTTGGCAACACACCTGACAAGGAGTCATGTTTGCATAGACCACAATACCTGCAGCCATAATGCAAACAAAAAACATAACTCTGAAAATATATGCACTGTCCTTGAAGTTGATTGGTCCACACCCGAGACAGCTTTCCTTAGAGCCTAGTCTCACATGGGTTGGACCAGATGACGCCAAAAGGCGCACAACTCAAAGACAATGCACCATCAAGCACCATCATGTGGTCTATGCAAACATGACTCCTTGTAAAAAAAGGTGTCAGTTTTGTTGCCAGATAGAAGGGTAAAAAAACAATTATCATATTTTTTACAGGCAAATGAGGTTCCAATGGTGAGATTTTTTATTGCCGACAATTTTTTTTATCACGAAATCGTTGCAAGCCAGCCTCACCTCGGAGCTGTCGCACATGTCACTCAGCGGTGTGTCACACAGCACCCCCGCGGTCTCGTTCCACGGGATGACGCCTTCGCGCACGCGCACGTTGGGATGGAGAAGCATGCATGTGTGTGTGTGTGCGCGTGCAGTCGTGCGCAAGTGTTGTGTGTGTACAGGGTTGTGCTCGACATTGTGTGTGAAGGTATTTGTATGTATGCATGCGGAGTTTTGTGTGTGTGTGTGCGTGGAATCGTGTGTTGGTTTGTATATGTGCGTGCCATTGTGTATGTGCGGGTTTTGTTTGTAAAATTGTGAGTGTTGTGCGGTGTACGCAGAGGAGTTTCGTTGTGTTTGTGTACATATTCCGGTGTTGTGTGTGTAAAGTTGCGCGTGTGCGAAGTTGTGCGCGTGTCAGTGCAGAGGTTATGTGTGTAGGGTTGTGTATGCCGGTTGTGTGCGTGGTGGGTGAAGTTGTGTGTGCGTTAAGTTTTGTATGCAGTGCGTGCGAGTTCCGAGGGTTCACAAAGGTAGAACGGAAGAAGCAAAGCGACAAAGTAGATTTAGAGAACAGAATCAGAACACAGGGCAGCACGGGCGGAGGGATGAAGACAAAGATCCCCCATATAGCCTTAACAGACTGTAGGGGCAAGTACTGTTAGCGAGCACCTATGAAGGCCGGAACGGCACACGAGGGGGTGGGTGGCCAGCACCACGCCCGACCGCCTTTGTCTCCCCAATGGCGATCTTTACACACTGCACCAGGTACTGTACTCATTTGAGGCTGAGTCGACCTAGGGGAAGCCCATGACCGGTTTCATATAATCGTCACTGGTGTTGGCCGTGAGCGGGAATCGAACCCGGGTCGCCGGGTTCATAGCGCAGCACGCTAACCGCTACACAACCGCTCCCCCCACACAGACACACACGCACATGTGGAGAGCGGCATTAGCATTGCGACAGAGATGTGGGGCAAGAGTCGTGACGGTTCAGGAGAGAGTGGGCGACGATGGCGGGTAAAGTGGAGGCGAGTGTGTGTTGGTGGCGGTGGCGAAGGTGAAGGTATGCAGTGCAGGGGGTGGAGTAGGGAAGAGGAGGAGGTGTAGGGAGGTGCAAGCACGACGATTGACGAGCGACATCGCGAAATGAGACACCGTTACACATCCGCCGCCGTAAAGAGCTCGATTTAGACGCTGGGACTCGTGATGCCAAACCGAAGCACCCCTGAGGTTAGTTGCCCGAACAGGAAGATTGGGGGACATGTCGCGCACGGACATCGTTTGAAGCCTGCGTTTCAAATCATCTGGCAGTGCGCTCAGCTTGCTCCTCCGCGATTGATTTAAAAATTATCGTCGCAAAGTACGGGGCGAGCCAACAGTGACGGCCGTTATTTTTGGAGAGACTCTTGACTGTCCATAAAAATTTGGAATTTCCGCCCCTGGCTGTGGACGGCCACCCACGCCGGAGTGGTGATTTATTAAAGTTTTGGTAAAAGTTCGCTGGCAAACAGAAGTTTATTTTTGAATAATTTATACAAATACATATATACAGATATTTTACAGCAAACAAGTTCTAGAGTGTAAAATAATAAAAAACAAACTTATACAGAATAGAAAACTTTGTAGCAATGACCTTGGCTTCACAGAGGATTTCATCCACAGGCGTACCCAACACATTGAATCTGTGCGTGGACTGAGCCCATGGATGTACTGTCATCCCCTGTCCACCTTACGGGCACATAGATCAGATCGGATTAAAATTCAGAGGAAGCTGAATGATTATATACATCCTCACGAGGGTGCTTCCAAAAATACAATTTCGAAGTCAAAGAAGCGACATTTCACTTCACGCGGGACAAAACCACGTGGGCAAGAGAAAACCCACAATGCATTCAAACGGGTAGCACTCAAAAGCTCTGCACAGATTGATTTAACAATCCATTGCTATCCTGCCATCTCGTGTGGCTCAGCTACGAGGCTTTCCTGGGTCGAATGAAGGGCAAGGCCGTTGTTGTATGTACTGTATGTACGTCTTCTTGGTTCTTTCGGTAAAGTCACGTAGAAGGGAAATAATAAAATAATAAAAATAAAACATTATACTATTAAATTCTCACGACGTTTCGGCCACAACACAAGCAGCCGTCCTCAGGTGAAGACAGCTGTCTGAAAGACAGCGCTCCAACGAACACTGCTAAGCTTGGCAGCGTATTTTAAGCTGAACTTCTTTCGCACCGTACGTAGCCAACCGCGCTGATCGGAGGTGCGAATACGAGACTCGAACGACGGGGGACGGGGGGGCGAGAGGGGGGGAAACAGCGGCAAGGGGAGGAGACGGCACCCATCCTCACCGAACTGGCGCAAGTCGACGCAGACGCGGCTGGGGGCCGGCGGGGCGAGTGACCCGGCCGGGGGGGTCACCGAGTGGCAGGCGGAGAGCACGGAGGCGGCCATGTAGACGGGCAGGGCCGAGAGGCCGAACACTCCGAGCCACGCGAGCGCCAGCACGAAGGTCAGCAGGATGAACTGGGACGCGCACGCACAAAGACAAAAAAAACCCTCGTTTAGTCTTAACAGACTGCTGGGGCAAGTGCTGTTAGCGAGCACCTATGAAGGTTTGAGGACTTTATGTTTTCGTGGGTTTAATATCCACTCTAATAGTCGCATCATCACCACCATCACCGCTGGTGATTGCGACCAACGTTTTCAGGCGATTTGCAGAATTGTGAAGTCTTCGTACTCAGATTGTAAATGTTGTGAGTTTAATCTCAAACACAACCGGTGTGCTGAAGTAGTCATTCATTTGCTCGTTTTATTTACGTGACAAACTTTACTAATTGGCTGTCGGGTGGTGGTGGGTTAACGACACATGTATATTTACGCGATCTAACCCCCAAAAAAACCTTTATTATGCCTACGCGTTAAACCAGTGTTCTGCACTTTCAGAGGGTGGCCACACGTCGGTGTGAGGGCCGCCACACATTTTAAACCATTGGGTTGGACAGCGCGATGATGGGGGGTGTTTTCATATTCGTGCATTGTCGGGGGCCGCACTAAAGTCCACCTGGGGCCGCCGGCGGCCCGCGGTCCTTGCAATGAAGAACAACACTGGGTGAAGTATAGACGGGGGAGTGGGTGGAGGGGGGGTGAGGCGTTAGGTACCCAGCCGCTGACGCAGGTGGCGCACGCGGACGCGCCGCTACCCCCGCTGTATGAGCGGCGGCGAGCGCGCGTGGAGGCGGCGCCCTCGCACAGCAGCACGGCACCGTAGAGGCAGAAGGCCCCGGCCAGGCCGTAGAGCACGTAACGCAGCACGTCCATCCTGCGGGACACACGCACAGCCCGCTTCACGACGTGGGACACGCGGGACACTCGCACGGCCCGCTTCACGACGGGGGACACGCGGGACACACGCACAGCCCGCTTCACGACGGGAGACACGCGGGACACTCGCACGGCCCGCTTCACGACGGGGGACACGCGGGACACACGCACGGCCTGCTTCACGACGTGGGACGCGCGACGCGCGGGCGTCACGGCAGATATGCGGCGGCGGTGGCGTCGGGGCCGGTGATGGTTGGTGATGGCTACGTTGCTCGGGGGAGCGGTAGCGTAGCGGTTAGTGCGCTGCGCTACCCGAGTTCGGTTCTCGCTCACTGCCGCCGACACCAGTGGCGATTATCTGAACTGGTCCTGGGCCACCCCTAGGTTCGCTCTGCCTCAAATGAGTACCTGGTGCGATGCGTAAATATTGCCGCTGGGGAGACAAAGGCGGTCGGGCGTGCTGCTATCCACCCACCCCAGTGCCACAAGTGGACTAATCGCTGTCCGTTTATTCCATCTGAGCGGGGAGATAGAACGTTGCCCCCTTGCACATATGGGTTTTCTTCCAGGTGCTCCGGTGCCCTCCGAATAGTAAAATAAACACTCACCACTAATTGGCTGAAAACATCTTACAAGAAAAAAAATCCTATGAGTCGGTGTGGCTTTCCCTGGAAAAATAAGTAAATTATGATGATGACATCACGATACCAGATTTATAAGGCGGGCAGGCATCGCGACCCTGTGGTAGCGCGTTCGCAGCTTGTTGCAGAGGTTAACGGTTGGAATTGATTCTTCATGCGGTGCGTATTAGCCACGATAATACTACGTGGCATTCAAACACCGTGAACTTTCAAGATCCCGTGACGAGTGTGCCAACGTCATCGTGCAAATTTGCCATATTTTTAAATTAACACCGCAAATGACTCAATTGAGATTATACATGGCAGCAATCATCGCCCCCTGCTCACGAACTAATACCCCGGGTCACTCTTGCAAATGAGACTCATTCTGGTCTCTTGAGTTCGCACCTGGTTAAATAAACTTCACTTGAAACAACATTACAAGAGACAGCACACCAAATTACATCGTACACTTTTCCGCAGCACTATATGCGATGTCATCATTACGTACTATCATCATCTTCCAGGATAGTCACTTTTCACCATGATCATGTATCATCATCACCAACAGCACTACGACCCTTTCCATGATGCGCCACCACCACGATCACCACAACTCCTTCCCCCCCCCCCTACACAACGAGGGGTGTCGCGATGGTGAGATGTTAACTACCTTGCCTGGTATACAGGAGGTTGGAGGTTCGACCTTGATGCCTGCTGAATATTTGGAGTTTGCATATTTCGTCCCCGTGGTCGAGTGGATTTTTCCCCACCGGTTTTTTTCTGGTTCTCCGTTTTTTCCCCTCCACATCCAAAAGCATGCGTCTAGAGTATTTGGTCGCGATAAAATTCCACCTGATAAGCCACTTCGTTAGCTATCATTTGTGGCCAGGTGACTTCCGAAAAATAACTTACATAGCTCAGTGGGCCTTCATCATCATCATCAGTGGGCCTTACGCCTTATCTAGTAAAATAGAAAATAGTTTCTAGTTCATAGTTTACAACCGCTGCTCTCACAGTTTTCCGATCCCTCTCCGCTCCCCATCCTCCCCTCCGTCGTCCGTGGGGTAGGCGAAGCGGTGGCGGAGCAGTTCCTCGGTGGCGCCGAGGGCCTGGTGGCCCGCCCCGCAGAACAGCCCCACGCCGGCCAGGCACACGACGGTGGCGAGCAGCGAGCCGCACGGCGTGGCACCCACGCAGCGCGAGCAGCGGCGGCGGCACCCTGCGGCACACACAAAAGGGCAAAAGGTGCCCCCCCCCCCCCTGCATCGTGAGGGCACAGCTGAGGACGCAAACGGGTTTTGATTCCTTACCCGTACCCGGCTGCACCAGGGTCGCAAACGGGTACCTTTTTTGTGGATTTGTTTTTTTTCTGAATGGGGAGGGAAAAACTAGAGGAGCAAAATGCACATGACCACGGGGGGAAAATGCAAACTACAAATATACAGTAGCAGACATCGTCAGGGTGGGGATCGAACCCACGACCTCATGTATGCTAGGCGTGGAAGTTAATATCTCCTAGTCACCGCTGTGCCCCAGAGGTCGAAATCGGGTACCCGTACCCTACCCGATACCCGGCTACCCGTACCCGGCCGTCGCGCGCTTTCAGATGCGCTTCTGCGGCCGTCTGGAACGCTCTTCCTTCTGAAATTTGGAAGCCACTGGGAGCTGTGCACTTTTCACTCATCTAAATTTAAAACTAATTAATTAGAACTGCTTTTTGTGTTTAGTTGTATGTCCACACCCCCCTCCCCCCGCATCTCCGATTAACACGGTTGGCTATGTACAGTGCAAAAAAGATTGACATACATACTCGCATAGTAGCCTCGACAGACTTTTGGGGCAAGTGCCATGCACGAGTAGCACCTGTGAAGGCTGGCTGCACGGCACACGAGAGCGGTGGTGGGGCCAGCACCATGCCCGACCGAACCTTGTCTTGCGAGTGGTGATGTTTACACATCGCATCAAGTACTCATTTGAGGCTGACTCGACCTAAGGGAGGCCCACGACTGTGAGATGTGACAATCCAACGTGAATGTGACCGGTCATTCCGTGTGGTTGGCTACATTTTTTAAGGGTCACCAATAGAGAGACCTCCACCAAGTCACCCCTCGACTCAACTCCCTGGTCCCAGCAGCCTCCTCGATTCCTCATGCCAGCAGCGTAGAAGATCTGCATTTGGTTCTCCGGTCATGACCACACCGGGCGCTCTCACGGCCTCGCCACTGTCGAACCACCCTCCACGTGGACCATCTTTCAGTTCCGCACGGATGGATTTAGCTAGCTCTGGGAGGGAATTCTGCGCGCAAGCTTTTCTCAACAATCCCATCGTGCATGTGCGGAGCCTGGGCCTGCATTGTCGTTGCTGAAACGCCACTCGCTCCCTTTCTTCAGAGCCCACGGCGATACTAACGAACCTTCAATCTGTCCCCCAACAACAAGGCACAATAGGAAGTTCGAGTGACGGTTTGTTGATTTTTGTTCCTGTCTCAAGAAACTGCCATCATTACCTTTCTGGCAGAAGGTGGTGGTGTGGGGGGCAGGGGGACCTGGAGAATCCAGATTATTGAATCTTATCTTTGGCAACAACTGTCTGACACTGCACAGTTAGAGATGCAAGTTTCATCGGAGGCCATAATTGGGAGACAAAAAATGCACGAGGCACGAAAACAATGTTAATCTGTTTGCTTCCTCCATTAACACTTTCAGAAACCCAACCGGGCGCGCGTAATTTCCAAAATTTCAACTTGTCACGGGTTATTAATTGAACTGTTTCCCACACGTGTCGCTGCGACTCCTGATATGTGCATGATTCCCGCTCGCCTGTCATCTAAAATTAACCCCACTGGCTTGCATGAGCGAGCCACGGCTGGTGCCTAAGCATCAATTGGCCAGCCACCAATTATGTCGTAAACGAACACGCTCGCATCCAGTGCCGGATTATCCTCGTAGCAAAAGTAGCTACATATGCTACGGGCCCCGCACTTTCAAGGGCCCCGCGCTAAATGCTTTCAAGTTATAAATTCTGGTTCAGTGATTCTGCACTTGCTCTATTACTATAGTACTATACCGCCTTCAACTTTTACGAACGACTGGGTGTTTAAGGTTAGCGATTTGTCGTATTATCTGGCTGTGTAGCAAATGAAAAAATACAATTACTTTACTATGCAAGTAAAAAAAAATGTGTTTTAATATTTGTCTTTTAAATTTAGAGCCCCTTTATAACGTATCCTACAGGCCCCGCACTAGCTTCATCCGGCACTGCTCGCATCCACCGTCGACTTGTGTCGGCCCCCCCCCTGCCGCGATTCGTGTGGTCAGTTGCCCCGTCAGCCACACTGCAGCTTCTCGTTCGTCCACGGAGTTCGCTTCTCTCGTGACACCCTCCGAGAGCCGGGGGAACGATTAATGACGGCTCGCTGATTCTCTCATCCGTGCAAAGGGCACCGCCAACTCTCTGATTCACTGTGTAAGAAAAACATGTTTTTTCTCCCTGGGTAGTAAGTGTCATTTTCTAATTGCTTATGCCTCAAAAGTACAGAAAATGGCTATTATTATTCCCCACAAACTTTGCTTTTGTGACCAGGACACAAAAGCAGGTTAATCATTAATCCACTCCATTAATAACACTGTGTAACACATTTATTTATTTTTTGTTCCTGGGTAGTAAGTGTCATTTCCTAACCAGGACAGTTATATTTTTAAATGTACCTATTTTCAATGAGAAAACGTGTGCATTTGTGTCATTCCTTCACGTAAAGTCCTGGTCACAAAATCAAAGTTTGTCGGGAATAATAGCCATTTTCTGTACTTTTGAGGCATAAGCAATTAGAAAATGACACTTACTACACAGGAACAAAAATCGTGTTACTTAGTGTAACGATTCACCTGGCGCCCACCATTGCAGCACGCATGTCGCATTGCTCCCATCCACTGCGTTAATGCTCAATGAAATCCCCACTCGCATCGGTTTTTACAAGCAACGCTCCAGATGACAAAGCATTTGGTGATAGCTATTGATGTGCGATGAAGAGGGGCCATTGCCCGAAACGTCGGCGATTATGTTTCCTTTCAAGGCCACAATAGTGTTATTGATGAACGGGTTGAGTTTTGTTTGTTGTTAGTTGTGCCCCAGAATAATGTTGTTGTCCGAGTAATGTAATCATTTAGATGTGACACTGTGAGTGAAATGTGAGGTAAAATCCATCACCCTGAAGTTCAATTAATTGTCCAGCCTCTAAGCCTGTGGGGTCTGCAACACATTCCTGCGGAGGGAGCTGGTAGGAACGTTGGGTTGCTCGATCAATGGCCAGGGTCAACAGCGGCGTGGTGTATTCCGCAAATATGGCCGACTGTGAGGGCGGTTACAAGTCGGCGTGAGTAGATTAAACGTTGAGTTTTATAAGGGCACCACGGGGTGAGCAGCCCCTCCCCACCCAGCCCCACCCCTCCCACCCCCCACCCTCCCCACCCAGCCCCTCCCCACCCTCCCCACACAGCCCCTCCCCACCCTCCCCACCCAGCCCCTTCCAACCCTCCCCACCCAGCCCCTCCCCTCTCCACCCAGCCCCACCCCTCCCATTTTTGGATTCACGGCGGACGGACGGACACAATAATCCCCTGTGGGCTGGTGGAACCAGGTGGTTCCTACCAGTATCAACTGAAGCTTTGGATTGTAACTGCACCGTTACTTTGAACCAGTGTTCAAACACTCGGTGCTACTGTGCAAAAAAGACATGGGCTTACAAACCCCAGAAGGTTTATCAGTGAGAATCTTTCAAAAAACGTTACTCTGCTTAAAAAAGAAAAAGTGCTCTTTAATATTCCGAAAAAAACCCCCAAAGATTATAGATTGTGGTTTAGCGGAATTACTGCACTTTATATTCAATATTGAATGCCCCCTCATTGGCTCCGGGGATCACGTAGCCCCCTCCTTCACATTACACACAACACATCACCTCAACACATTAGGTGCTTGCTAACAACACTTGCCCCTACAGCCTGTTACAGGCTACACGGGGGATCTTGTTTTTGTTGTGTATATGTAGGTGCTTGCTAACAGCACTTGCTACTACAGCCTGTTACAGGCTACACGGGGGATCTTTGTCTTTGTTGTGTGTCTGTAGGTGCTTGCTAACAGCACTTGCCCCTACAGCCTGTTACAGGCTACACGGGGGGGGGGGGGTCTTCGTCTTTGTACGAGCAACGACGACACGACAGAGACGTGTCTATGTGTGTGTCTGTCTGTGTGTCTGTTTATGTGTGTGTCTGTCTATGTGTGTGTCTGTCTGTGTGTGTGTCTGTCTATGTGTGTGTCTGTCTGTGTGTGTCTGTCGGTGTGTGTCTGTGTGTCTGTCTGTCTGTGTGTGTCTATCTATGTGTGTGTCTGTCTATGTGTGTGTCTGTCTGTGTGTGTGTCTGTGTGTGTGTGTGTCTGTCTGTGTGTGTCTGTCTGTGTGTGTGTCTGTCTGTGTGTGTGTCTGTCTATGTGTGTGTCTGTCTGTGTGTGTGTCTGTGTGTGTGTCTGTCTGTGTGTGTCTGTCTGTTAGGTGCTCGCTAACAGCACTTGCCCCTACAGTCTGTTCAGGCTATACGGGGGATCTTTGTCTTTGTCTGTCTGTGTGTGTGGGCTTGCTCCTCATACCCAACGCCTCCTCCTCTTCGCTCGCGATGCTCGCTGCCATGTCCACTCGCCTCCTCTTCCGCTGACTTTCTCGCGATTACCCCGTCGATTGGTGCCGATGCTGCTGCTGTTGCTGATGATGGGTTGATGGCCGATGTTGATGATCAAGACGACGATGACGACGATGATGATAATGTCCTGATTTATTTAGTTGTGGTCAGCCTCCCTTCTATCTCAGATCGTTATAACGACCGTCGTTTTCCCGTTGTTCCTATAATGTACAGGACTAAAGTTGTACGCGTTACGAACCCCTCTATCGTAAGAGATGTTAATTAATCGCCGCTCGGGTTAGCGTCTGCATGCACCGGCTTTCCATCACGACGTCTCATACAGAATAATAACAATCCACGGCGCTTACTCAATCCACTGCGAGATGAAGGGCTTCCCCCACCGTTGTGTGTGTCACGGGGGGGGGGCTTGGGGGGTTGGAGGGTTAATTGTCCATACTTCACCACGCTGGTCGCTGCGGTGTTGGCAGAGAAGAGAAGGGGATGCGACGATACGGGACCGGCTCAGATATAACTCGCCGCTGACGTTAGCCGCGTTTCGAACGCCGGTGGATCGAACTCAGGTTGGAGTGGTTTTCGCAGCGCGGCTGCGCTAACCGCTGCACCACCGCTCCGCCGCTGATCCAACAACAACAAAGTCGTCGTGGACGATGTTAGGAACATCCAAGGACGTCGACGATTGTGTCCGTGATTGTCGCGGCTTGGACGAGACCCGAGTTACTCTCGCCCATGATTTGTAGCAACCTCCGAGACTGACGTCCCCCGCATAACGTCAACTCGACGACTGCGAACCCCGACTTTAGACTCGCAAAGCGACGACGAGATTATCAACGATGAGATTTTGATGATGATGATGAAGAGCGAGTCGATTCGTGTCCACGTCAACAGCTGGGACGAGCGGAGAAAATGCGTTGTCTCCCGAGTTTGTCTGTCTCCCAGTGTCTGTCTGTCGCTTCCTGCCTCTCTCTCTTCCTGTCTTTCAGTCTCCCTGTCTCAAGCTCACCGTGTCTCTCTGTGTCTTTCTGTCTGTCTCCCTGTCTCAAACTCACCGTGTCTCTCTCTCTCTGTCTTTCTGTCTTACTGTCGCTGTTTCTGATCGCGTTGCTTTCAGCTGAGCGATGCTGATGCTGCCTTTAATCTGCTCCTGACGACGATGATACAATGATTTCTATACTGATGATGATGAGTATTGCTTTTGTTTAAAGGTTGCTCTGTCTCCCCGCCCTGCGTGTCACAGTTGCTTCGGAGGAATTAATTAATGAAGGCTGGAATTGAGGGTCTCTTCACAGAAGAGCCCTCCTTATTGATCACGGAAAAGCCTCGTGCATCGGGGGACGGAGGCTTAGTGGGGTTTCATTTTTTTGGGACGGGGGGTTGGGTTTGTCAGGCCAGGGGTTAGTGACAGTTATTTCATTTTCGCCAATGTTATCGTCATCAAAACACTGTCACTACCACCATCATCAAACCACTACATCGTGATCAACACCACCACTACCATCATCATCAACAACACCATCGTTATCAAACCACCACCACTATCATCATCATCAACACCATCGTTATCAAACCACCACCACTATCATCATCAACAACACCATCGTTATCAACACCACCACCACCACCACTATCATCATCAACAACACCATCGTTATCAAACCACCACCACTATCATCATCATCAGCAACACCATCGTTATCAACACCACCACCACCACCACTATCATCATCAACAACAACATCGTTATCAAACCACCACCACTACCATCATCATCAACAACACCATCGTTATCAACACTACCACCACTAACTATATTGTCATCATCATCAAACCACTACATCGCAATCAACACCACCACCACTACCATCAACACCACCTTCATCAACACAACCACCACCAACCACCACCACCACTAACTATGTTGTCGTCATCATCATCAAATCCACTCCCATCAATCGTCAACATCGACTAAGCCACTATCATCAAACACCACACACACGACCCTCATGACATCATCGTCGTTGTCATTGCATCATCATTACTTCCGGGGTCGGTAAACTTGCAACTGGTTAGAGGGAAGTCAACATCGATTTGCCGTTGTTGACTTCGTTGTACATCTCTGCGCTCATGATTACATTGGGGCTCTGACTTAGAAGCCACTCAAAGACAAAACTTCTCACACGCACGCAGATACACAACAACAACAGCAGCAGCCGCTCTTTGCCGACTCAGTGACGGTGACGTTACCACAGCGCTTGAGCGCTTGTGCCAGGCGAGGTGCACTTTAAGGCCATCACGTGAAGTGAGGAAGGCTTGGCTGGCAGGATAGGTCACGGGGCTGACCCGAGTGCCACATCCACTTACACGCGACAGCGATGACACCGGTGTCACACACCAAAAAACTCCTAGGTTCGATTCCTGACTCGGCCTTCTTTCTGTGTGGAGTTTATATATTCTAGATTTGAAGCTTTCGTGACTGCAAGGATTCATACTCTTAGTTCTTTTGGTAAAGTCACGTAGGTAAAAAATGAAATTAATAAAAATAAAAAGAAATATCAATAATAAAAATATTTATTTTTTTATTTTATTTTTATATGTTCTCCCCGTGTTCTGCATCGGTTTCCTCTGGCTTCTCTCATTTCCTCCCATCGCTATAATTATTCTTTAAATCACCACAATGTAACTGGCATTGACCAGAAACATCACGACGTTCAAATATCACCTGAAAATGTACTCAATTGAAATTCCACATAGCAGCAACATCGCCACCCCCTGCCCCTACTCTGAAAACTTGGCAAGACCCTTCTGAGAGGGAGCCTTGAGTCTCGGTGATTGGTTGATGGGTAAACTAGCGTAACAATCATCATAATAGTACACACGCATGTACTAAAGACCCCCAGTGTACGCAGTGTGTTGGGGAAAGTGCTGCTAGTGAGAGATCATGTGGCAACGTCCCACACCTGACCGCCTTTGTCTCCCCAAATGCTGGCGTTTTAACACACATTAAAGGCTGAAATCAACTTACGGGAGACCCATCATCGGCTCAGATGTCACTCGCCACTGCCGTTAGCAGCGAGTGGGGATCGAACTCGGGATTCTGTGGTCGTATCCCAGTGCGCGCTAACCACTGTGCCACCCCTCTTTACACATGCACACGCTATATTCGCACAAAACACACACACACACACAAACACCCCACAGCACCTGTGCCAGGCTAGGTGCACAATTGAGGAGGCCCACACACAGGTACATACGCAAACACATCACCCCCCACTGCGCGCGCGCGTGCGTGCGTGCGTGAGTACAGGCGTCGCTTTAGCCACCCTCCACCCGCGCAGCGATGTGATTTCCGGAGTTGGCGCGCGTCCCGGGTGTGAAGGCTGGCCGCTTGCACGCGCCTCTTTAGGGCAAAAAAAAAGTGCAACATAGCAGCGCGGAGGAACACAAGAGCGGAGGAACACAGGGAGCTCTGTGATGCCGCTCGCTCTCTCGCTCTCTCGCTCCAGAAACCCGTGAGTCCATGACAGCAAGAGCTATCCCTGGCTCTCTCCCTCGCCCTGTCTCTCTCTCTCTCCTTCACTGCCTCGCTCTGTCTCTCTGTCTCGCTGTGTCTCACCGATTCTCTCAATCTCCATGTTGCCCCCTCTGCGTCTCTCCACGACTGTGTATTTGTGCCTCTGTACCCGGCTCCCTATCTCTCTTCGTGGCTGTCTGTTTCTCCCTCCATCTGTATGTGCACGAGCGTCCATCTGTATCTGTGCCCTTGCGCGTGTCTCTCACTGTGTCTCTGTTCCTCGTGTGTCTACCCTCTGTCCACTTTGTTGTATGTCCTCAATACGCCTATCTCCCTATCTTCTCTCCCCTATCATTGATTTGCCTCTCTTTATTGTCTCTCTGTATCGTTGTACCTCTCCGTGTCTTCGGCGTGTGTCTGTATGACTCTGTGTCCCTGTCTCTAACTCCCCCGTGTCTATCTCTGCACCCCACCCCTCCGCTCTCTCTCTGCTTTTCTCTCTCCCCCCTTTGCACTCTCACCCACAGTGGCGTAGCGTAGCGCGGTTGGCATGGGCCCTGGCGAACGGAATGAAATGCCACCCCGTCACGCCGTACAACCCCCCTCCCCTCGTCGTATCCCTCCGGCCCACGGTCCCTGTGCAGTTGCACCGCCTGCACACCCGATAGCTACCCATCTCCTAACCTGCCTACCCACAATGTCACCCTCTGCATGTTGCCACTCTTACATCACCACCTCCTCTCTGGCTTTCCTCTCTTCATCTCCATCATCATGAGCAATGGTCAGGGATCAGGGATCAGCAAATTTCTGCTCCGGAGCTATTAAAGTACTGCTTCGTGACGTTATTTATTAATGACCGCCGTCTCGTATTCACGTGGCAATATATTGAGTTTTTTTATATAGAATTCGAAAAAGTGGCTGCTGCTATTTTGGTTCCAGACCCCCTTGCCATGGTCTATCTACTGCTGGATGAAAGCCTAACTCGAGTCGGCACCATCTCTCTGCGATGTCACAATCCGTCTGCCTCGCTTCAAATGCCCATGAGCGGGACCCAATCGTACAGTCACGAAAGCTTCAAATCTGGGACCCAATCGCTTCATCTCACACACGCGGTCATCAGATAGAGACGCTAACCATTGACTTCCTGGACCGATGGAATTTCCTAAAATTGTTCTGGAAGGGGGATAAGAATCACATTTGGAACAATTGCAGTCGAGTTTCCATTATTATATTTAGAAAAGTGCGAACACTTACGTTTCCAGTTCAATTATTGAGTTCGTTATTTTGAAGCTAGTCCCATTACAAGTTGATATCAGGAGGTTTTCAAGAACGCCGATTGTAAATCTTACAAAGACATCGTCGTGGCGATTGTGCCATGCTAGGTCCGTTTGGAGGTCACGCGCAGTGTCAAAGGCTCGCTGGCAGGAAGGGGTCACGGCGTGACCCTTAACAGACTGTTAGGGGCAATCAGTGGCATGGCCGATTTACCACAACCGGTCGCATTTGCCTCCCCAGTGCGGAAGTTCACACACAGCACACACACTCGTTTAATGCTGAGTCGACTTAGGGGAGTCCCAGCACATGATCAGATATCACTCGCCATTGTTTTCTATTTGTCAGCAATTGAACCCAGATGGCCGTGATTATAGCAGAGTTGCGCGAACCGCTGCACCACCGCTCCCCACCTACGTACTGTACTTACATAGATATCCTTAACAGACTTTTAGTGGCAAGTGCTGTTCGCTAGCACCTATTAAGGCCGATACGGCCCACCAGGGGGTGGGTGGCCAGCACCGTGCCAGGCCGCCTTTGTTTCCCTTGTGGCGATGTTCACACATCGCACCAGGTACTCGTCTGAGGCTGAGTGGACCTAGGGGAAACCCAGGACCGGTTCGGATAATCCTGTTCCTTGTTTGAGCCTGGCTAGTAGAGTACGTTGAATGGCGAGTGGCGAGATGTTAACTACCTCGCCTGGTCTCCAGGAAGGTTATGGGTTCAACCCTGACCCTGACGCCTGCTGTATATTTGGAGGATTATCCGAACCGGTCCTGTCGGTGGCCGTGAGCGGGATTCGGAACTGTGAACACTGGGTTTCGTAACGCGCCAATCTCACACGAAGACAAAGACCCACGTACACAAATGCCTAATTAGGTCCGAGGAGCAAACGCTGTTAGCGAGCGCCTATTGAGACCAGGCACGGTACACGAGGGGGCGGTGTATAGCCCGCGCCACGACCCGCACACACTCATTACTATTCTCTCTGCTGCTCTCCCACGCTCCTCTCTCACACTCTCACCCCCTCTCCTTTGCCCCGTTTGTATCTCTTCCAAACATTTTTTCTCACTCTCCTTTTCACTCCTCACTCTCTCACTCACTCTCTCTCTGTCTGTCTCACACTCTCTCTGTCTGTCTGTCGTCTAACTAACTCTCTCTGTCGCTCTGTGTGACCCCTCCCCACCCGATCCTTCTCCCTCCCCCCACCCCTCTCTATAGCAATCTCTCCATCAGTCGTTACATTTCACATCCTTTTAGAGTCAACAACATGGACAAATCATGCCAGAATCTGTCTCAAAACTCACGACTCCCCCCCACCCCTTCGTTATCTCTGCTCTACGAAGGACCATCGCCCGAAACGTCATCTCACGTGTACCTTTTGTCAAATCCACTGCTGGATGAAGGACTCCCAACGCACTGGCTGGTGGTCATACAGATGATTTGACCATACTTCACCACGC